TATTATATCTTTTCATGTGGTGTTTAAACGCCATATAAGGAAATCAAATAATCTGAACTGGACTAGGAACCCACATTTGAGGTCTTGTGGTGGTACAAATGTTGATAGATGAGAAAATCTACGTGGAGTTTATCTTAGCTATTACATACACATTAAGCTGAATACATGAACCTTCAGAAATACACTTTTCAAGTGGTGTCTGAACTCTGAACACCATATAAGGAAATTGAACAATCCAAACCAGACTGGGGAGTCGGGGACCCACATTTGAGATCTCGGGGGTACAAATGGCGATAGGTGAGAAAATATACCAGGAGTTATGCTTAGCTATTACGTACATACTAAGCTGATTATATGAACCTTCAGAAATAAACTTTTCAAGTGGTGTCTGAACACCATTTAAGGAAATCAAACAATCCAAACCAGATTACATGGATTAGGGACCCACATTTGAGGTCTCAGGGGTAAAACTGGCGATGGATCAGAAAATATACCAGGAGTTATGCTTAACTATTTAACACACATTAGCTGAATATATGAACCTTCAGAAATAATCTTTCATATGGTGTATTAACATCATATAAGGAAATCGAACTATCCGAATTGGACTAGGGACCCACATTTGAGGTCTCAGGGGTAAAACTGGCGATGGATCAGAAAATATACCAGGAGTTATATGCTTAGCTATTTAACACACATTAAGCTGAATATATGAACCTTCAGAAATAATCTTTCATATGGTGTATAAACACCATATAATGAAATTGAACTATCCGAATTGGACTAGGGACCCACATTTGAGGTCCCGGGGGTACAAATGACCATGGATGAGAAAATCTATCAGGAGTTATGCTTAGCTATTTAACACACATTAAGCTGAATATATGAACCTTCGGAAATAATCGTTCATATGGTGTCTAAACACCATATAAGGAAATCGAACAATCCGAACTGGACTAGGGACCCACATTTGAGGTCTCGGGGGGTACAAATGGCGATGGATGAGAAAATCTACCAAGAGTTATGCTTAGATATTACACACACATTGACCTGTATTCATGAACCCTCAGAAATAAGCTTTTCACAATTTTTCCTCAAAATCCCTTATCTAGAGACGCTGAAAACTAACAATTTGAACTGCAAATGACACCAAAATCCGCCAACACTTTGGTTGATAATTCCGTCAAAATTTGATGAATAATTTTCAAAGTTGCTCAAAAGTATACCTGTTATGTGCTCCAAATGTGTACCAAAGAAAAAATTTCTAACCTTCTAGCAAAGTACTGAAAATTAAGAAGACGCTGGGTCTCAGGAAAAGCACCTGTTTTTATTCATCAAAGTTTGAGAGTCTCGATCAGTAAGAAATTGCAATATTTATGGATCTTTTCTCATACCACGTCAAAGCTATGAATCTCAGGATTCCAGTGGCACTCCTCGTTTTAAACTTACCTTAAAAATACCGAAGATTGTCCATAAAACGTGCAAAAAGGCTGCATTGTCGTGACCCGTTCAGACACTGCAGCGCGTTCCTTTATCCTGTTAGTTCAAGGTCAAAACGTTGCTATAGTGACGTTATAGTACGCGCGCGCTAAACCCGGGTATCTTGGCATTAACGTGAAAAACGAATTTTGCGCAAAAATAAAAAATTGAAAAAATGATCGGGCATCAAACATGAGGGTTGTGTCATGTGGGCAACATGGTGGTCGAAGGATTTCCCGGGAGTAATTGTACCCCTGGTTTGTGACTACTTTGAATTTAAAAAATAAGCAATCAAATGACCATATTGAAACAGTTAATGTAAAAATAGAAACATTTATATTTATCTTTATCCACTGATTTCATTTTAAGAGAGGCACTATATCAAAAACTTACATATAAAATGTGAAGAATCCAATATTTTAGTAAGACATAAATTACAATGTAAAGCAACATATGAAGATGCTTTGGATGCATTGATTCACTTTCTAGTGCTACATGTTTACAACTTAATGCTGCAAAATGATTACATTGACTATGCCTGCTTTCCTCTTTTTTGAAGGGGTAGGGCACTATAACGTCATACTTAAATTACAAAATAGTGATTCATCATTATAAAAGTTGTATTACAATATTACACAAACCTTGAAAATGTTCTTGGAATACTATTTTGAGCTGTTTAAGCTGTCACCTTTTACCTGAAGCTACGAATGCAAATTAGACGAGACTTAAAAATGTACATTTTCGGATCAAAATTGAGACAAAAAGTCCAATATCTCTGGATTCAGTTGTCATAGATTGATGTATAATCGCTTGTTAGAAAGGTCTTCTTACATATTTTATGGATATATTAGAATATCAAATATAGTTCTCAAGGCTCTGATACAGCATATTGATTGTGTTTAGCTGTATCCATGGTGACCTTTAACTCACTCAGAAATGGGTTAAACCCCAAAATTGGCTACTCTTAAGGACTCATAATGTTTCAGAGGGTCCAAAGGAACATTTTGACAAAGGTTTCATTGATGTACTCGAGATGTCATTTAAAACTAATTTTAGGGGCATTTCAAAAAGCGCCCCCTGGTGGTAGCCCCAAATTTGTCACTTAAGAGTTGCCTTTTTGGGGATGCTAGACCCACATCTACTAATTACAGGCCTCAAAGTTGAAACCTTTTGTACTCGAGATGTCTTATAAATGTTTGCTAGCTCCTAGAGTATTTAAAATTTTACTGTAATGCCTGGGTCACATTTGCTAAATTACTTGAGGTTGAATAAAGGTAACTGATTTCAAAATCATAAACTGACAAACAAACTCCTTCTATGTACTTGATATTTATTGCACACCTCCCAACTATGAACACAAAGATGTACATAAACTAAACATTTACATGCTCTCAATTGTGTACTTTAACAGTACCATACTGCAATAGGCTATACTTTATTAATATACAACATAGTGTACTGCAAAGCACCCATTTGTATTCTGCCCCTATGTAACATACATTGCTCTACTGAAATGCACTTAATTGTACTTCAAATGCAATATCCCAAATCGCAATACTGCATTCTGTATTAATATAGTAGTTGTCTTTGTACCACATAGAGTAGGAATACCAAGTATTGCAAGTGCATGTGATTTCATCAAAAATGTTACTAAAAGCGCCACATTTGAAATTATAGACATTTCCAGTAAACCTAGAAGTACTACTCTGCTATGAAAATTAAGTATCTGGGATGTATTTTGATTAATCTGTCATCCCTATTTCATGAAATATTAAGACAATTTCATGCCTATCATTTTGTAAAATACTATTTCTCATATGTCCCACATACACTACTAGATCATATTAAATCACAATATATCATATTCTCTGGAATCATTTCACAATATATCATATCATGTACATCACTATTACCATGAAATGACATCATATAATAAACAGGACATATATCACGTCATGTATATTATAACATCACAAGATATGATATCACATCATATCATTCTCCTACATATCATACCATTATGTTATATCATACTCCTATACATCATACCATTATATCATATCAGACTACTAAATGAACAGATACCTCTAAAAGTATTCCACTCAGGAGGTTTTCCACTTACAGGGCTTCCTTAAGCAATAATTTAGTTGGTCACACAGGACTCTTCACAAGTTTTACTGTTTATAGCTCTTCATTCACATTATATCCTGTATTACCACATATTACATGTAATACCACATATAAATATCACATATTACATGTAATACTAAGTATTAACATATTAATACCACATATTACATGTAATACTACATATTAATACCACATTACTTGTAATACCACTTATTAATACAACACATTACATGTAATACTACATATTAATACCACATATTACATGTAATACCACACATATCAATACCTCATATTACATGTAATACCACACATATCAATACCACATATTACATGTAATACCACACATATCAATACCTCATATTACATGTAATACCACACATATCAATACCACATACTAGTATTACATGTAATACCACACATATCAATACCACATATTACATGTAATACTACACATATCAATACCACATATTACATGTAATACCACACATATCAATACCTCATATTACATGTAATACCACACATATCAATACCTCATATTACATGTAATACCACACATATCAATACCACATATTACATGTAATACCACACATATCAATACCTCATATTACATGTAATACCACACATATCAATACCACATACTAGTATTACATGTAATACCACACATATCAATACCACATATTACATGTTATACTACACATATCAATACCACATATTACATGTAATACCATACATATCAATACCTCATATTACATGTAATACCACACATATCAATACCTCATATTACATGTAATACTACATTTTAATACCACATATTACATGTAATACTACACATATCAATACCACATATTACATGTAATACTACACATATCAATACCACATATTACATGTAATACCACACATATCAATACCACATATTACATGTAATACTACACATATCAATACCACATATTACATGTAATACCACACATATCAATACCTCATATTACATGTAATACCACACATATCAATACCTCATATTACATGTAATACCACACATATCAATACCACATATTACATGTAATACCACACATATCAATACCTCACATTACATGTAATACCACACATATCAATATCACATACTACATGTAATACCACACATATCAATACCACATATTACATGTTATACCACACATATCAATACCATATATTACATGTAATACCACACATATCAATTCCACATACTACATGTAATACCACACATATCAATACCACATATTACATGTAATACCACACATATCAATACCTCATATTACATGTAATACCACACATATCAATACCACATACTACATGTAATACCACACATATCAATACCACATATTACATGTAATACAACACATATCAATACCTCATATTACATGTAATACCACACATATCAATACCACATACTACATGTAATACCACACATATCAATACCACATATTACATGTTATACCACACATTATAGCTATATGACATCATATAAGTTGAGGCAATGGCAGAGAAGGGAGCATAGAGTCCACACAATTCACCCAGAAGTTAGCACAGGGAGCATGATACTGCTTGCCTCCGTATGTAAGTTTATGACAGTCATTTGCCTTATCAAAGGCTTTGCTCCTAGAGTCCACGTTTAGTAAGCAAACACCGCATGCCTTCTTGTCTGCCTCATCGTCCCCTGGTCGCACTATGCCGGCTGTGAAGTCAAGGGAACTAGCTGGAGGCTGGAACAGATGGAAAATAATTACAGAACTAGATAACAGCAACGCCAATGCATAGCAAATCCCAATGAACAGCCATGGCTGCAATTTTTACAAAATCATTCCACTGCTTTTTCAGTAATGGCAAAATTTGTAAAAAATAACACACATAAAATGGCCACCATTTTCAAAATGGTCGCTCACTGTCAAATTGCCAAATTGTCATAAGAAAGGGTAATATGCTTTTAAATAGGCACATGTAAAATTTGAACAAAATTGCACACAAGTTCAGGTAAATGGCGGCCAAAATGTCATAAGACAGTGCCATGCTTATGAGTATTCACATATCAAATATGAATGAGCCATGAAATGTATACGCCCCGTGGGTTTTCATGTATTGTATGAAACATTGTATGATTGATTTTTAATTTAATAAATTGAATTGAAAACTGAATTGAATTGAATTACATAGGGTTACACTGTCACTGTCATCACTTAACAAAATTGCTCCACTACTTTTCAAGTTACAGCAAAAATTGTAAAATAGCGTGTAAAATGCCGTATTTTTCAAGATGGCTGCCATGTGTTTCTTAAATACAATGTATCTACATTTTTTAGCTTTATCTATGTCCTATATAACTTTCTAGATTTAAAACGTATTGCTATTACAGTTTAATATATTGTACCTAAATTACTGGAAAAATCTGCTCTAAAATGGCCGCCATTTTCCCATTTTGAAAATCTGCTTTTGACACGTTTGAGCAGAACTTCAACTCCAATAGGACATATTTGTACAAAATATGAACAAAATTGGGCCAACAGTATTTGAGTTATTGCTTCATATTAGTTTTTCTGCACATTTAGAATGATTTATCCAAGATAAACCTACGCATAGTGTTCAAATCTTACCATTATTGGGTTGCCTGCAATGAATGCAGTCAGGTTGTTCCAGTTTAGGTCTATATTCAAATCTTACCATTATCGGGTTGCCTGCAATGAATGCAGTCAGGTTGTTCCAGTTTAGGTCTATATTCAAATCTTACCATTATCGGGTTGCCTGCAATGAATGCAGTCAGGTTGTTCCAGTTTAGGTCTATATTCAAATCTTACCATTATCGGGTTGCCTGCAATGAATGCAGTCAGGTTGTTCCAGTTTAGGTCTATATTCTTGAGGACCATCGATAGATTGTCATTGTGGATAGCAAACATCTTTATAGCCAAGTTGATCTTACAAACCACCCTGTATATCTCTACTATTCCTGGAAGGCAATGAAGTACAAAGTTAAATGGGCATATTTTCAGTTAAATGGGCATATTTTCAGGTATATGGGCATATTTTCAGGTAAATGGGCATATTTTCATTTAATGAAAATTGTGGTCTAAAGTCATTTTATGGTGAAAGGAGTTTCTAGTAATGAAAAGAACATGTATTTAGGGTTTAGTGAAATCCTTATACAAATTAGTTAGAGGTATATTTGGGTCTCACCAATTAGATATGCCTTTCCTTGTTCAGAACCAATAATTTCACTGCACACTGCACTACTGCTTACAGAGTTGAACGTGCTGTTTGCGTTAGTGATGACATCACAGCAGCTTTGAAGACACTTTTCCCATTCAACAGCATGTCTGTCCTGATCCTAGAATCATATTAAATTCATTATATTAGACACTTTTCCCATTCAACAGCATGTCTGTCCTGATCCTAGAATTAAATTATATTCATTATATTAGACACTTTTCCCATTCAACAGCATGTCTGTCCTGATCCTAGAATCATATTATATTCATCATTATATAAGACACTTTTCCCATTCAACAGCATGTCTATCCTGATCCTGGAATTATATTATATTCATTATATTAGACACCTTTCCCATTCAACAGCATGTCTATCCTGATCCTGGAATCATATTATATTCATTATATTAGACACTTTTCCCATTCAACAGCATGTCTGTCCTGATCCTAGAATCATATTATATTCATTATATTAGACACTTTTCCCATTCAACAGCATGTCTGTCCTGGTCCTAGAATTATATTATATTCATAATATTATATTATTATTGTCTATTATTATATTACATTCATTATATTAGACACTTTTTCATTCAACAGCATGTCTGTCCTGATCCTAGAATTATATTATGTTCATTATATTAGACACTTTTCCCATTCAACAGTATGTCTGTCCTGATCCTAGAATCATATTATATTTATTATATTAGACACTTCTCCCATTCAACAGCATGTCTGTCCTGATCCTAGATAGAATCATATTATATTCATTATATTAGACACTTCTCCCATTCAACAGCATGTCTATCCTGATCCTAGAATTATATTATATTCATTATATTAGACACTTTTCCCATTCAACAGTATGTCGGTCCTGATCCTAGAATCATATTAAATTCATTATATTAGACACTTTTCCCATTCAACAGCATGTCTGTCCTGATCCTAGAATTAAATTATATTCATTATATAAACACTTTTCCCATTCAACAGCATGTCTGTCCTGATCCTAGAATCATATTATATTCATCATTATATAAGACACTTTTCCCATTCAACAGCATGTCTATCCTGATCCTGGAATTATATTATATTCATTATATTAGACACTTTTCCCATTCAACAGCATGTCTATCCTGATCCTGGAATCATATTATATTCATTACATTAGACACTTTTCCCATTCAACAGCATGTCTGTCCTGATCCTAGAATCATATTATATTCATTATATTAGACACTTTTCCCATTCAACAGCATGTCTGTCCTGGTCCTAGAATTATATTATATTCATAATATTATATTATTATTGTCTATTATTATATTACATTCATTATATTAGACACTTTTTCATTCAACAGCATGTCTGTCCTGATCCTAGAATTATATTATGTTCATTATATTAGACACTTTTCCCATTCAACAGTATGTCTGTCCTGATCCTAGAATCATATTATATTTATTATATTAGACACTTCTCCCATTCAACAGCATGTCTGTCCTGATCCTAGAATTATATTATATTCATTATATTAGACACTTTTCCCATTCAACAGCATGTCTATCCTGATCCTAGAACTATATTATATTCATTATATTAGACACTTTTTCATTCAACAGCATGTCTGTCCTGATCCTAGAATTATATTATATTCATTATATTATATTATTATTGTCTATTATTATATTATATTCATTATATTAGACACTTTTTCATTCAACAGCATGTCTGTCCTGATCCTAGAATTATATTATGTTCATTATATTAGACACTTTTCCCATTCAACAGTATGTCTGTCCTGATCCTAGAATTATATTATATTCATTATATTAGACACTTTTCCCATTCAACAGCATGTCGGTCCTGATCCTAGAATCATATTATATTCATTATATTAGACACTTTTCCCATTCAACAGCATGTCTGTCCTGATCCTAGAATTATATTATATTCATCATATTAGACACTTTTCCCATTCAACAGCATGTCTGTCCTGATCCTAGAATTATATTATATTTATTATGTTAGACACTTTTCCCATTCAACAGCATGTCTGTCCTGATCCTAGAATCATATTATATTCATTATATTAGACACTTTTCCCATTCAACAGCATGTCTGTCCTGATCCTAGAATCATATTACAGTAAAACCTGCGTATAGTGAACAATTTTTTGCCAAGAAAAAATGTTCACTGTTGGTAGGTGTTCACTACAGCAATGGTTTGATTTCGCGGCATTTTGCCGTATTATATAAAGAGACCAGCTATTAAAAGAGAGGAGGGAATATTTATTTATTTATTTATTTAGATATACACTCTTTTAACAGTGGCACTCTTACATTAAGGTGCATGTAATCGAAAAATATCCACAATTCCATGTTGGTTAAAACAGCACATTTTATCAAACTAAAATGAGTCTTAAAAAGAATTAAAACATATTCATATTTCAATAATAAATTTAAATTGTATTTTCTACCCATATTAACCCATGACACTCAAGCGTGTATTAAGTATATATACAAATTGACTTATTTTAGACTGACTGTCATCTGAATGGTTCATCCTTTTATTGTCAAATTTTATCTCTATATAATTCTTTTTATCTCATCAAGATGGTCCTTTAAATAGTGGAATTTTTGAGACATTTGAGTCAGTTAAAGGACTTTATTGAATTATGATAGACATGATAGATGCAGTTAATAGTGAAATGATCATGAATTATAATTTTGATCCAATCGTTTTTTTAAATTGACGGGATGAGAAAAAAGATTAAGTTGGGACTTAGCAGATAGAGGTAATAATAGTTAGCCAGATTATCTCCAAGCAATCAATCCCAGACGCATATCCTTTGTAACAAAAACAAAGCTTATTAAGAATTATAATTAGTCACACCTGTTTCAATAGAAGAGATCAAGATCTCAAATTGACCTTTTAATTATTTTTGGCAGGTAATATAAATATAAACTGCTTAACTCTGATAAGGCAGTTGCAGAAAATCCGCGAGAAATCTTATATCTGATTCAAGGTTCACTAGAGACAGGATAATTCAATTGATTTTGCCAGGGTTTAGTGTTCACTGTTCATAGTTGGTAGGTGTTCACTATAGGATTGCACTTTAACATGGGAGTCAATGGGAGAAAAAGATTTTGCCAAATAAAAACGTTCACTGTTAATAGGTGTTCACTAGAGAGATGTGTTCACTAACTCAGGTTTTACTGTATATTCACTATATTAGACACTTTTCCCATTCAACAGCATGTCTGTCCTGATCCTAGAATCATATTATATTCATTATATTAGACACTTTTCCCATTCAACAGCATGTCTGTCCTGATCCTAGAATTATATTATATTCATTATATTAGACACTTCTCCCATTCAACAGCATGTCTGTCCTGATCCTAGAATCATATTATATTCATTATATTAGACACTTCTCCCATTCAACAGTGTGTCTATCCTGATCCTAGAATATATTAATATGTACATAATGAACACTTCTCCCATTCGACAGCGTGTCTGTCCTGATCCTAGAATTATATAAAAATATGCATAATATTAATGTGTATTAATGTGTACCTTTTGTGTGGAAATTATTGTGATGGCACTCTATTAAATCTTTAACATATATCATTAGACAAATAGAATTATAATATATTCATTATATTAGACACTTCTCCCATTCGACAGCGTGTCTGTCCTGATCCTAGAATTATATAAAAATATGCATAATATTAATGTGTATTAATGTGTACCTTTTGTGTGGAAATTATTGTGATGGCACTCTATTAAATATTTAACAAACCATATTTCTACTATAAATCGGCAACTCAAGGGAGTAGTAAATCCCAACAAACAAAACATATTTTAATCATTTTGAATACGTACATTTAATCCCAAATCAGTGACACAAACCAGATTATTAAACAAATTCATGTCATCTATATATAGAAATATGCATTTTATAATATATTTTTAGGCCTCTGGGTAAAAGGCAAACTTCAAAGGTCAAACATACTAGGCCTACTGCTATATTGCTTAGATCATTACATTTGTTAGTATGGACATTCAACTTAAAATTATGGTTTAAAAATTATTATTTCTTTTATCACTATACCCTTTTTATTGAAAGGGAATATTATTCAACTTTGTAACCAAAGAGCATCGACGAACAGGTCACATTTATGAAGTAAAAAACAAAAACAAGTCACATCCATAAAGCTGAGATTCTTACATTTCCAATGGTATATTGAAACCTTAGGACAAATTATGCAATTTATTTGAAGCTCTCATTTGTGCAGCTTTTTAAGCTAAACAGAATGAACCAGGTGTATCATTTCATATTACACTGTTTATAAATTTGGTCTAATTGATAATGATGGATGATAGTTTTTCTATTCAACAATATTTGTGTTTACATCCTTGTTTTATTCTCTAATTTCATTGGTTAGCAATGACCTTGAACTTCTGAACCTCCAGGTAAAACATAAAAAAATTCCCGTTTGTAAAACAGACCCAATGAGTATTTGCTTATTTCATGGTATTTCTCTTAAAATGTGAATAACCTTATTCAATTCACTTTTTAAGTTATCGACGTATTTGTTTCATGCAATAATTCCCTGTCCTTGTCATATCTCTCTACTTGCCAATGCTTATTTAATAAAATAAAAAACTGGTTGTTTATTTTATCTGCAGGTGTCTGGCGTCTAGGTATTCATATTGATTCATCAGCATCACCATAGTAACCATAGTAAACGGATACTGCGCAATAGACTTTTAGCTACATTATTTTGTAGGATTTGGACAAAATACCTAAATATACCTAAAAGTATATGCTTAAATATACAGAATAATTTCATAGTACAACATTTGCAGTGGGAAAGAAGAAATTACAACTGAAAAAACCACATAAAATTGGAATAAACGCATCTATGCATGAGCAAATAAAACAACAGATTAATTGAAAATATGATTATAGATTTGGACAATTGATGCTCCATTATATCTGTAAGAACAGTTTCTGCAAGAATAGTTTCTTATTCTGGAAACAATAAACAAACATAACATAAACATATTGCCATTAGCCCGAGTGTTTCATTGGATGATTTAGAGGACATAATTCAGAACAATGACATGAATGAGACATAACCTGGATTATCCAGACAACATTATAACACTGAGACATAACTTGGATTATCCAGACAACATTATAACACTGAGACATAACTTGGATTTTTGCAGAGCAGAGCACATAATATATAAGGGAATATAGTACTGTAACGACCCTGGGTGACCCTGAAGCTGTAGTGTAACGAGCTAGATACTAGACATGAAAGGGAGTGTGCTAAATTCAATGCCCCGTACAAGAATCGAACCCGGGACCCTCCGCTCACAAGTCTGACACTCTACTGCTTTAGCCAAAGGAGCTAGCCAGTACAGCCGAGACTGTAGTAGCATCTTGCTTTCGAGGGTCATTACACCACTTTAAGACTGAACATATACCTAAATATAATAAGTATAGAGCTACGGCCTAAAACATATAAATGAAATTAGGTAAACAGCCTATACAAAGACTTATTGAGAATACACGTAGTCAATTTAACAGTGTGGAAATCAAAATCATTATCACACACACTTTCACTAGCACAAAGGTCAACATTTGATTTTAAGGAATTGCTATAAACAGATAAAAGTCTTGTAAATAATGAAAAGTGTCATAAGACACATCAAATTAAATAGTGCCAATTTACATGAAAAAATATGAAGTGTGATCGCATCAAAGATTATTTGACTACTCTGAGAGAGACAGTTGCCAAGGTTTTATGTAGGTTAAAAAATAAATTATCTGTACAAAGTAAACAGACAGTATACAGCGTATCAGAGCAAATTCCTGAAACTGTACCAGACCAGATTCCTGAACCAATATCAAAGCAAAGTCTTGAAACAAAAAAGGAGTGTCGCTGTGTCAATTGTCTATTCGGTTGCATGGGTCCACTAATTTTCTTTATTACTGCAGCTATTCTTTGGCCTGCATCATATCTCTTCCATATTATTGAAATAGTCAATTTAAATCACTCTACTAGTATTTGCATTTATAAGATTTTGATGGGTATGTTCCTCCCATTTTCTTACTTTTTTGTGCTTTTTTGTTCGAAATCCCCATTGTCCTGGATGCTCTCGATATATGTACCATTGCTACTTAGAATTATGTGGGTGATACCATTTCATTACCATCCCTGGTTAGTAATGGATGGTGTTATAGAAATAGAAATTGATGATGTAGCAAATCAACAAAAGTATTATTTAATCTTTGGAATTTCAAGCATATCCATTTATACAATAGAACTGACATTCTTTTCCATTTCAGCTGCAGTTTATCCCAATGATACTATGGGTAAGAAAACAAAGATTATGTTCTGGATTATGTACTACATCATCATGTTTTTATGCATTACAACATACGTATCAAACATAGTAATGCATGCCTTAGGGGAATATAAGATACATAGCGATGAATTCAAAATATATGTGAATAATACTATGAGACAAGAACACAAACATGTATAACATGTACCAATGGGTGATCCTGATCCTGTAGACTTTTCCTCCAAAATGCCCAACACTAATCAGTTGAAGAGACAAAATCTTAGGACAAAAAATCAATAATTGCTGTCTTACCATTTACCCAGAACGCCCAAAAGCTAATCACTTTGACATTTTCATACAAAGGATCATCCCTGAAAATTTAAAATGGATCCATCAAACAGTTCACCTGAAAAGGCACACACAAAACTTTACAAAAAAGATATTAGGACAAAAAATCCAAAATGGCACCTTAACATTTACAAAGAATGCCCAAAAACTTATCATTTCAAGATTTTCATCAGAAAATCATCCCTGAAAAATTGAAATCAATCCATTGAATGGTTCACCTGAAAACTTGTAAACAATACTTCAGACAAGATTTGAGGACAGAAATCTAAAATGGCCTCCTTAACATTTACCCAAAATGCCCAAAAGCCTATCAGTTCAAGATTTTTGTACAAAGAATCATCCCTGAAAATATGAAATATTTCCATAAAACTTATTGTGAATAGTCAATTTAACTGTGGAAATCATTATATTAGGTATAGGCCTATATTTTAATTTATTTTCATTAATTCTGCAATTTTAATATCTGTCACCAGCAATTACATATGGTATTTAAGGAATTGCTATAAAAGTCTAGTAAATGAAAAGTGTCATATATATATAAATAAAGACACATCAAATTAAATAGTGCCAATTTGCATAAAAAAATATGAAGTGTGATAGCATCAAAGGTTATTTGACTGCCCAGAGAGAGGCATTTGCAAAGGTTTTATGTAAGTTAAAAAAGAAATTATCTGTCCATAGTAACAGCTTATCAGACGCACGTACTAAAACAGAAAATTGCAAAGGTATAGCATTACGAATATACAGCGTATCAGAGCAAATTCCAGAAATGGGAAATGAGTGTGTAACAAAAGAAAGGTCATGCTGTGCTAAAAGTCTATACCGGTGCCTGTTTATACTCATGGGTATACTGTATATTCCAATGTTTATCTTTCATATTATAATATACATGTATAGCGAATTAAATATGCCTCCCTATTATACTTGTCTTACCATATTTTCTACATGCGTTTTGTTCTTTTGGCATGTAGTTTGTTTTGCTAAAATCCCATGGAGCTTGATAGTACGGCTGATTTGTATGTTATGTATATTACCAGTTCATTACTCTCCCTTGCTAGTATTGCATGGTATGATAAAATCAGTTGATGTAGCAAATGAACAAAAGTTTTATTTAGCCTTTGGGGTTTCAAGCATATCATTTCATACAATGGAACTGATAGGCTTTTTCTACTATTTTATGTGATCCTGATGTCCGACCTGACTTAGTTGACATCAAGGGTAAGAAAACAAGGATTATGTTCTACATCCTCTTGTTTTTATGCATTACAAAATACATATCAACAATAGTAATGCATGCATTTGGGGAATATAAGATACATAGCAATGAATATAAAATATATGCTTTGAATAATACTGTATAAGTGGTAATTAATCCGAGTGGTTAATTTTCCGATTGGTCAAATTTTATCATTTTCCTAATTTTAATTTCCTAATGACAAGAAACTTCCCATTGGATAACATTATAAAGATAATTTGTCAGACATTTAATTTTCTGAACATGGTAAAAAATAGGGAATAAGATATATGCTTTGAATAATACTAGTAGTTAAAGATATCTGTTCAATGCATCTTGAATCACCTATAATGTTTCCAAATCTGATGGTTTTTGTTAAGATGTACTGTATAAGTGCTAATTTTACCTAATCACTTAATCTGCCTATTGCCTAATTTTTTCCAGGTTTGGAAAATGAAAAGTCAGAAATATTATCCTCATAATGTTATCTAAAGGGAAGTTTCTTGTCATTAGGAAAATGATAAAATTTGACCATTCGTCAAATTAACCACTCGGATTAAATACCACTAAATATACAATATCAGTGTGAGTATCAATTATCAATGGTTCACTTGGTGCTCTAAATTATTGAAATAAAATAATAATCCATTCTTGTGTTAGTTTACATGTAACCTGAACCATGTCCCACTTTTAGGCGTTAACAGGAGTTAGCACACATATAGAGACTTTTTCTCATCCAATATGTTCACATGTATTTATAAGTCTTTAAAGACCAAAATTATACATGTAATTATTTAGTTAAACTATGAAAATATAAAAAAAGAATGTGAATCCAAATTTGCATATAATTAAAATGTATACAAAATGTATAAGTAAAAATGTATACAAAATGTATAATTAAAAATGTATAAGTAAAAATGCATACAAAATGTATAAGTAAAAATGTATACAAAATGTATAATCATAATTAAAAATATATACAAAATGTATATAAGTAAAAATGTATAAAAATTGTTGGATGTTTTATCTAAAACATATACTAACAAAAAGTTCTAAAAAGCAAGTCCAATGTCCTATTTAAGAACCCTATTCTATCTATTAAAAATGGATTCTAGAAATATAGCTATCCAACATGAATCTACTTGTTGAGACTCAATCAACTTGAATTTTTCTGAGAAAATAATGATTTTAGCAAGGGTGTTTTGACTCAACATGGGGACATACACCATTGACCAATGACTTGGCATTGGGATACCATCATATATATGTCACCACATTAAATCAATGCACCCTTGCTGAAATCCACATTTTCTCAGAAGATCTCAAGTTGATTGAATCTTAACACGTAGATTCCTGTTGGATAGTATTGCTAGAATCCATTTTCGAAAGTTAGAATAGGGGTTCTTAAACAGGACATTTAACTAAGGCCTTTTTGAAATACTAATACTTTTTAAAGTACTAATATTTTAGTACTATGATATTTTGTGTGTACAAGATATGTTTTGAAAAAATGCATGTAATAGAGGAACAGCTTTTTGTGATTTTATAACATGGGGTCTATGGGGAATCTCCCCGACTAAGAAGTCACATTTTTAAAGAAAATTCATTTTTCAAAGTTGATAAACAATTTTTGTAACCACATTTCTTGATGTAATTTTACAAGTAGATTTCAAATATAATATCACTTTGATTGAATTTTCAATGACGTAAATCAAGATTATTTCTACTCACATCTAGACTATTCAGTGGCCATCTTGAAAATTCTCTCCTGGGGGCATTAGCCTATGAAATTTGAACCCATCCATCAATCGGTATTTGAGTTATTGCTCGGACAGATGTACAAACAAATAAACAGATGGATGGACAGACAGAGAGACAGATGGACGGCTTCCCTATATCCCTCTGGAACTACGTTTGGTGGGATAAAATTGTAATGTTCACAACTTTAAGGATACATGAAACTTTCCATTGCAGTTTCCATCCTTGACCTACACAACATGCATCAGAGAAAATTTCAATTGTATTGAACATTTATCTTCATTTTCTATTGTATCTCTGTTTTGGCATTTTATTTATATTATTATATTGAATTATTATTGATTGAATACTTAATATTGTAACTGTACATCACAAGGTACAGCCACCATGACATGTAAGCTTGGTTGTATTCTTTTTACAATGAATAGATAAATTTATAAAAAAGGATCTTAATGCACAGTTGTGTTTTTGTTATATAAATCACACAAAATAGAGAAAAAGCAAATTGGAATGAGTTTTGTGCCTAAAAACTGAATGGACATTCTGAGAACAGCTTAAGCAGAGAAAGAATGATTCAAATATTTAGTGTATAGTTGAATACCTCTCCTCTGTCAAAATGTAAATTTTAAAAAGGATCAGTAGCCCATTGAGGAATATACTTCCTATTACAGTTCCCATCCTTTTCCTAAACATTGAGCATGTAGGAAGAATTTTGAATAGGAATTTGACTTTTTATATTTCCACTGACACATACTCTCTCAAACAAATGGTTTATCTTCATCTGTGATCTAAGCCACATACAGATTAAACTAAAACTACATCCCTTTATAACAATGTCACCTTACCTGTACATCATGCATTATAGAACTGTATCTGTCTACACCAATCTATAACATTGTCACCTTACCTGAACATCATGCATTATAGAACTGTATCTGTCTACACCAATCTATAACAATGTCACCTTACCTGTACATCATGCATTATAGAACTGTATCTGTCTACACCAATCTATAACATTGTCACCTTACCTGAACATCATGCATTATAGAACTGTATCTGTCTACACCAATCTATAACAATGTCACCTTACCTGTACATCATGCATTATAGAACTGTATCTGTCTACACCAATCTATAACATTGTCAACTTACCTGAACATCATGCATTATAGAACTGTATCTGTCTACACCAATCTATAACATTGTCAACTTACCTGTACATCATGCATTATAGAACTGTATCTGTCTACACCAATCTATAACATTGTCAACTTACCTGTACATCATGCATTATAGAACTGTATCTGTCTACACCAATCTATAACATTGTCAACTTACCTGTACATCATGCATTATAGAACTGTATCTGTCTACACCAATCTATAACATTGTCACCTTACCTGTACATCATGCATTATAGAACTGTATCTGTCTACACCAATCTATAACAATGTCACCTTACCTGAACATCATGCATTATAGAACTGTATCTGTCTACACCAATCTATAACAATGTCACCTTACCTGAACATCATGCATTATAGAACTGTATCTGTCTACACCAATCTATAACATTGTCACCTTACCTGTACATCATGCATTACAGAACTGTATCTGTCTACACCAATCTATAACATTGTCACCTTACCTGTACATCATGCATTATAAAACTGTATCTGTCTACACCAATCTATAACATTGTCACCTTACCTGTACATCATGCATTATAAAACTGTATCTGTCTACACCAATCTATAACATTGTCACCTTACCTGTACATCATGCATTATAGAACTGTATCTGTCTACACCAATCTATAACATTGTCACCTTACCTGTACATCATGCATTACAGAACTGTATCTGTCTACACCAATCTATAACATTGTCACCTTACCTGTACATCATGCATTATAGAACTGTATCTGTCTACACCAATCTATAACATTGTCACCTTACCTGTACATCATGCATTATAGAACTGTATCTGTCTACACCAATCTATAACATTGTCACCTTACCTGTACATCATGCATTATAGAACTATATCTGTCTACACCAATCTATAACAATGTCACCTTACCTGTACATCATGCATTATAGAACTGTATCTGTCTACACCAATCTATAACATTGTCACCTTACCTGTACATCATGCATTATAGAACTGTATCTGTCTACACCAATCTATAACATTGTCACCTTACCTGTACATCATGCATTATAGAACTGTATCTGTCTACACCAATCTATAACATTGTCACCTTACCTGTACATCATGCATTATAGAACTGTATCTGTCTACACCAATCTATAACATTGTCACCTTACCTGTACATCATGCATTATAGAACTGTATCTGTCTACACCAATCTATAACAATGTCACCTTACCTGTACATCATGCATTATAGAACTGTATCTGTCTACACCAATCTATAACATTGTCACCTTACCTGTACATCATGCATTATAGAACTGTATCTGTCTACACCAATCTATAACATTGTCACCTCACCTGTACATCATGCATTATAGAACTGTATCTGTCTACACCAATCTATAACATTGTCAACTTACCTGTACATCATGCATTATAAAACTGTATCTGTCTACACCAATCTATAACATTGTCACCTTACCTGTACATCATGCATTATAGAACTGTATCTGTCTACACCAATCTATAACATTGTCACCTTACCTGTACATCATGCATTATAGAACTGTATCTGTCTACACCAATCTATAACATTGTCACCTTACCTGTACATCATGCATTATAGAACTGTATCTGTCTACACCAATCTATAACAATGTCACCTTACCTGAACATCATGCATTATAGAACTGTATCTGTCTACACCAATCTATAACATTGTCACCTTACCTGTACATCATGCATTATAGAACTGTATCTGTCTACACCAATCTATAACATTGTCACCTTACCTGTACATCATGCATTATAGAACTGTATCTGTCTACACCAATCTGTGGTCCAGACTCACTCATCACTTCAGTAGCAGACTTTGGGGCCCCAGTTGGCAACACTAAAACCACAGTTACACACATGAATTAAACAAGCGAAGATGACTTTTTGTACAATATGTGTTATTAATGGAATTTTTGGTGGATTTTCGGAAATAAGTTGTTCCCTTAAAGGTTAATGTCAGTTAGTGAATACGTTTCTCTAGTGAACACCTGTCTCAGGTGAACACCTCTCCCTAATGAACACCTCTACCTAGTGAATATCTGTCCCTATACCCAGTAAATACCATTTCTCGGAACATACTTCATTTTGTATTTTAGCTAAACTATTTCTTTATTGGTCTCCAAGACAGGATAATATCATAACTGATTTACCTGGTAAAGGAGGGGGTGCCACACTGAAATCTCCAAAATTGTCGTCTGCTTCAGAGTTTCCATTTTCTACACCAGATGTCGCTTCATCAGGAGGCCCTTTGAAGTCCAAGCTTCCAACAGATTTATTGTCCTGACTTATACTTGGTTTACGATCTTGAAACTCAAAACTGGACACTGATTGGTTATCCACGCTACCCTCTTTTGACGAGACTTTTGTTTTGAACTCAAGGCTAGACACTGATTGGTTATCTTCTTTTAAGGCTTTTGATTGGTTATGGAATGGAGGAAGCTCTAAACTAGATACTGATTGGCTATCCCCAGCGCCATCTTTCCGAAGCTTAACAGTATCAAGATTATAAAGTTCAGGACCACTAGCGCTTGTATGTAAATGAGAAGTAAATTCAGTCATATCAACTTGATTCTCAGGTTTCGTTGTATTTCGATTAGGTATTTGTTTTTTGGGTTTTGGTTTTGGTTCAAACATGTCCTCCAGGTGTTTATTAGGTTGAGCATCCGGATCAGTCGAAAAGAAATCGCCAAAAACTCCAGCTGTGTGACTTTCACCTTCTTGTTCAAATGGGGGTGGTTCAAACATAGGACTGTCATCGTCCAAGCTTGGAAGGCGAGTTTTAGATGACATTCTACGAGTTTTAGGTGGTGATGACTGACTCTGCATTGGAGGAGGCACCATACTAAAAGCACCAAAATCAGAATTGTCATTATTACTGGAGAAGTTATTTTCCACTTTGGATTGGTCATCATCCATTTTGGGATATTTCTGTTTTCTAGTGATGGTGAGGTTGTTAGTTGAAATGGGAGGAACAGGGGGTGCACTTTCAAAATTTGCCCAATCGTCATCGTCTTGTTGATCACTTGTGGAGGGGTTAACATCATCCTCTGCTTGGTCTAATTTTATAGGCTTTGGAGGGGGTTCGTTGAACTTTTGCAATATTGACATTTTATCAAATTTTGGCACTTCGCTTTTTTTAGCCGCTGGTTCTGGAATGTCGCAAGTTTGGAAGTCTGCCCAGTCTTCTGTCGAAGCCGTTGAGGCAGCCATTTTCTTTTGCATAAGTTTCTCGTGTTTTATACGTTTAAACATTTCATTTTCATCACTTTCTACACTTCGAGGGGAATCAACATCAGACCCCTTCAACACATCCAAATTTCCTTTGATGACCGCTTCTGAATATTTCTCAAAATTGGCGAAGTCATCTGGACTCTCAGGACTAGTTTTGGAAACTGGAGAATCCAGCGCAAGTTTTGGTATTTCCGGCAATGTAGCAGAGCCATCTATTGGTTGTTTGGGTGCTGGGGGACCTGTAACAGAATACACATTTTGGCAATTATTTTAATGGTGATCCTTGTGGTGTTATGACAATAAATAACAGAATGTCTCTGCAGAGGGGACAAGACCACTTTAGATGAATTTTTGATAGTTTTTTGTACTCAACATCAAAGTCAAACCTAGAGGGCATTTCTATATGAATTTGAACATTTCTGCATCTTAAATACTCAATAACTTCAATATTAGATTAGATATATTTTTCAGAAAAAATTAGGAACCCTTAGGGAAACGTTGGCATGCTTCTTTCCCCTATATTCGCTATCGCTTCTACTTCTTTGATCAAACTAACCCTGTAAACTATACTGTGCCAATTTTCTTTTTATTCATTTTAAAAAAAATTTCCCAACCAACCCTGAACCATACTACGTCTCCTCACTATTATTAAATAGTTCTTACTAGAATCCATACTGCGAAGAAATGCATATTTATCCTCAGCACCAAGAAGATCCGACTCAGAGGAAATCTTTGGAAATGTGTTTGTTTGAGTTTGCAGAGTTGTACCTAGTGGTGGAATACTTGATCCTGGAGGTTGGGTGTTTGCACCAGAAGAAACTTGTGTGAAATCTCCAAAGGAACCTTAAAATAGAAAATAACTCTTTATCTGTAGAAGGTAACAGTATGAAAGGAATAATAATTTGTGTTTTTTATATTACACCGTATCCTTATTAATAAATGCACAATGCGGCTCCCAAATTATCCTGTAGGAGGTGTCTCAAATTACAGATTACTTTGTATATTCTAAAGCCATGTTAACTATTATGCTATCCAGCTAAAAGCACAAAGCATCACAGCCTGCAAAAGTAGTATTTTGTCTAAGTCTAACCTAATGGGTGATATTTCAAAGTCACCATATGTTTCTTTACCAAAGCATAAGCAAAACATCAAGCATGTAAAATGTCCATGTAAAATGTCCATGTAAAAGGTACATGTAAAATGTACATGTTAAAGGTACATGTGAAAGGTACATGTAAAATGTACATGTAAAATGTACATGTAAAAGGTACATGTAAAAGGTACATGTAAAATGTACAGGTAAAAGGTACATGTACAGGGCGTTCAGTAAGTAAAGCTAATTTTGCTCTCAAACTTTTATTTCTTGTCTATCATCGTTCAAATTTTCAGTGGAGAAGCATCAGACACTTTTCTAACTATCCTGAAAACATGATCAAGATATAATGAATAACAGCAAAATGGTGGTTGTCATAGTAACGCGAATACGGGTTCTGCGGAGCAATTTTTTAAGTTCACAGCATAGTAGATTTTGTTAACGTTAGTTTCTGTCCTGTCTATATTTCAACCATAGTTCTGTGGCTACTCCACATTTCTACTTTCAAGTTCGCATTCTATTTCATGTTCAAAGTAGTTCCCCTTAGCTTTCACACACAGCTGATGTCGTTCTATCCACTTCTGATATATCCTGTGGAAGCCATCTGGAAAGTTCTTTGTCAGCGAACATTGAACAGCATTCTGAAGCTCATGGATATTTGCGTGGATCTTACCACGCAGATCATTTTTCAAACCTTGGCTCATCACTTGTTGCTTTTCTCCCCTTTTGGAATTTCTGATACCATTTGTAGATTGTGTACTTAGGCACACTGTCCCCATATGCTTTTTGGATATCCCTAATGGTATCCTGCTTGGATTTCCCTAGCAACACATTGTATCTAATGCTACTTCTCAATTGTTGTTTCATTTCATTGTTCATTTTGCTTCCATTGGCAATCCTGGCAGCCATGATTTTGATGATGTCATGGAGCAGTGTCTGATGGATCATTCTGAATCATTCCATCTGTTGTATCATCTGTCTGTGATGTCATAGACTACTGTTGCCATGGTATCATATTTGTGAATGTTGTTATGTTTGTCGTGACTTTCAGCCATAGCAAACAAAGACATATGCAGCATTAATCTTAATCAATTTCATTGCATTATAACACTTTTATTAAAGTAAGAAATTGCTCCGCAGAACCCGTATTCACGTTACTATGACAACCATTGTTTTGCTATTATTCATCATATCTTATTTAATTTTTCAGGGTAGTTAGAAAAATGTCGAATGCTTCTTCACTGAAAATTTGAAAGATAAATGACAAAAAATAAAAGTTTGAGAGCAAAATTAGCTTTACTTACTGAACGCCCTGTAAAAGGTACATGTAAAATGTACATGTAAAAGGTACATGTAAAAGGTACATGTAAAATGTACATGTAAAAGGTACATGTAAAAGGTACATGTAAAATGTACATGTTAAAGGTACATGTAAAATGTACATGTAAAAGGTACATGTACATGTATGGTGTATATGTACACTCACTTGATTGATGCAAAGTGGGAGTTGGGGCTGCTTGGAAATCTGCAAAATCATCATCATCATCTGGAGCTCCTGGTTGCACTTGGGTTATGCTTGGTTGCCCTGGAGCTATGCCTGGTTGCCCTGGAACTATGCCTGGTTGCCCCGGAGCTATGCTTGGTTGCCCTGGAGCTAAGCCTGGTTGCCCTGGAGCTATGCCTGGTTGCCCTGGAGCTGTACCTGGTTGCCCTGGAGCTATGTTTGATGGTGCAGCTGGCATAGCTGTTGAGAGTATTCCAGATTGAGAAGCGGGCATACTGTGTGGTGGAAAAGCGTTAGCCATTTGTGAACTTGGTGCACCACTAGTATCCATTCCACTAACCATTGACATGTTAACAGGGGCCCCACTAGAGGGCACACTGCTGGCAGCTGGGGCAGCATGCTGTCCAAGATTTGGAACAGGGGCTTGAGGGCACCTTGCGAGAATATCAACTGTTGTCACATTTATATTGTTCTGTAAAAGAGATGTCAATATTAAATTTTTTAATTTTTTAGATGAACAATAGCCTCCTGAAACAGATTGAGTACACATGCATTGATGGTGTGAACATTTCACATTTTAAACCCCATATTCTTTTTTACTAAAATAGTACCATCCTAAATTGGTAAAGCAGAACAAACCTGTGCTACAGCTATTAATGCAATAATCATAAATAGTTCCTGTTTGTTCAGTTGCCCAGGGGTCTCTTTGTTTGCGAGTGCCCATATATGGCCAAGTGCTTCCCGAGGTAGTCCACTACGTAACAAGATGGGATACACAAGACCTGTGTCTATCTTATCATCCCTAAAAGTAAATAATTTCAGACAAGTTCATTGGTGAGGTATTTATTGATATGAGAAATAACTATCAAATAATGTTTTAAAGGGAGTAATGTAATTGCTGATATTTAACATATTTCAAATACCATTTTGGTCCAAATACAGTAACACCTGTGGTGGAACACCTCCATAAATGGAACACCTCACCTGTGTAACTTTGTGAAGTTGTATTACCCAACCAAAGGTGTTCCATTTACAGGTTTTACTGTACTGAAAATACATTTCCTGAAATTTACATTTGGATGGGGTAATTTGTAGAAGTTGATACTGTCATATATGTACCCCATATGTACAGTGACCTAACCAAGCGTTCTTTGCATAAATAATGACATACAAGGGTCGATCAAAAAGTTCCTTACCGTTGGCTCTAGATTTTATAATAGAAGGTGTTGGATGCTCAAACTTTTTGATCAACCCTTGTATAAGACACTAATTCTGGTGACTCACTATGCTGTAATTGCTATTTTCAATGTGTAGCTCGATCAATAAAGAAAGATTGTACAAAAATAAATGAGGATCAACATTTCTCATATTTAGTTAACAGGGGGAGGAGGGGGGTGTCTGAGAGTTAACAATCAAAATCTAGTTAGCTCTCCTACATTGAACTTTGCATTGGTCCCTTAGATACCTGGCTTAAATATAAATATTCAGTAAACTTACTTCAATGAGGCCTCGTAAACATGCTCATAAACTATTGGAACAGTGCCCTCTATGAGCCATTTAGGGGGACCACTAGGTGGCACTGCAGCATGGGGCTTCTTGGGTTCAGGTTTTGCAACAACAGGGGCACTTTCTATTGGTTCTGAAACAAGGAATAAAATTAATAAGTGATTATCAATGTTCCTTATTTTGCATATCATTAAAGAGGGAGGTGGCGATAGGAAAGCACAATCAAGACCCCCCTGGACGATGTTGAAATTAATTATCTGAAACTTGAATAAACTGGGGTATTCCATATGTTATCTGATTGGTCGTTAAATTTGTTTGTCAATATGGTTATGTGACCAAACGAACTCCATAAATGACAGTTCTGGAAATTGTAATTTGTCTTGGTAGTGATGAACTAAGACTAAAACAGCAATGGGCCCACATGTAGTACCTTGATCACAAAAACTGTTTAATTATTGCCACTTGTGAGCAGTGATTGAATAATAAAGTTCTTACTTTCCAGAACAAAGAGGTCGCTTAGGTTTTCTGTCGTGTTGTAATCCCATTTCTTTGCTGCCTTGCTTTCATGGAATGTCTGGTGTTTAACATGTTTTGGTTGGACCTCGCTTAATGCCGGCTTCACAAAACCTTTAGCCTTATTTGGCACACTCAAATCGGAACATTCAAGCATCATCGATCTTAGATCTGAAAATTGTATAATAATTAATCCAAACAGTTTATGACTTGATATAGTCAACAATATCATTATTTTTGTCAATTTTATCCTCTGAGAATATATTAAATATTATCTTTGTGAATTATTGACATTTTTATTAATAATTGTGTAGCGAAAAGTCAATGTCTAATTCTTAGTGCTGTATAAAATATTGCCATTTCAGATATCATACTTATGGAAAACATTGCATAAGTTTTTTAAAATTGAAGTTGATAATAAAAAGGAATTATTATTTACCCTTTTTATCTGATGGTTTTTCCATACTGGGATCCTGGACAGCTTGAGTAGATGATTGGCCAACAACATTAGTTCCTGCATTCGTGTCCTGTATAGGTGGAGCCACAGCTGAGGTTGGGATACTAGGACCGGAAAGGAAGTCGCCAAAATCATCAGCCTCATTAGCTATTTGAACTTCCTGTGCCTCTGTAACATTAAATACCAAACAATTTACTAAAACACAAGTTACCATAGCAACCATAACTTTTGATATATCATAACACAGTTATCTATAGATATTTATCTCCCAATGCCTTATTTTTTGTGAAATTCTCATAAAAAAATATTGAAAATCAATAAGATTAAAAGATTACATGATCTTATTGAACAACCTTGTATAATTTATTGATAATAGTTTGGATTAAACATTTATACAAACAGACTATTATGATGAAATAAATAGTAAAATTAGTTGGAATAAATTACTAGTTTCAAAACCTTGTAAATATTGCCATTTGTCAAGTTGTGAAAAAGTGACAAAATCAACACCCACCTTCTCTTGGCGTGGAATTTTGTGACCCGGATCTGTCCCGAGGGCTTTCAACTTTGCCGACTATGGCCTCGATCATCTTACTTGCATCGCTATGACTACTGCTTATATTGTGAAAATGCTTCAACTTTGATTGCTGCTCTTGGAAGTGGCGTTCTTTAAGTTGCTGTTTCGGGTCAACAGGTGCTGGTTGTCGCTGAGGACTGATATGGAAAAAAAAAAAATTCAAACAACTTATCTTATTAACAAAATTATAACAGTACATGTACCATGCTTTATTAGTTCACAAAGCCGAAATAAGGAACTCTCTTGATTAACTTTTAGGCATTTTGAATTCTTACTTTTTTGTTAATATACTGCATACTGTACAGTACAATAATAGAGAAGACAAATCAGACAGAACCCTTTTTACAAACAATAACTCCATAATGGCTCTTATATAGGCTGTTCAATAAGTAATGACACTAAGGCTCTCATTTTGTCAAATTTTGCTTGTTTTATCTCAAATTTTCACCATATGTTGAAAATACATTTGTCTATTTATATGGGGAAAATCACCAGATATAACTAATAATAACCAGTAATTTGGTTGCCATAGCAACATGAGGATACAGCACTTGACTTGGATCCAAATCAATAAGAATGATAAGAATGATGGCCCATCAGTACATGTTTTATACCCCTATCTTTCTTGAGTATAGTGGATTTCTAAGCATACTTTTTGTGTTTATGTTTTATGTTTATGTTTTGTGTTTATGTTTAAAAATGTTCAAAGAAGTTTGTTTGTGTCAACCAGGCCTTTAACCTCTTCAATTTTTTCATCATTGTTTTCATACTTTGGCCTCCTACTGAGATCATCATCATCCACACTTTTCCTTCCTTCTTTGAACATTTTGCACCACCGGAAAATTGATCTCTTACTCATAGAGTCATTACCATAAGCCTCCTGGAAATACTGCACTATATCTTTTGCTTGTTTCCCAAGCAATACAAATGTTTTTATTGAACTCCTTTGCTGTAGTGCCAAACTCATGTTTTTGCAGTTTTCAGGACTTTTCCCTTTTTTGGAGAGTCTATGATCATTATGACTCATTGGATTCCCTACTTTTGAGAAATTAACTGTGATGTCATACCATTTAGTTACCATAGCAACATACACACAAAACAAACACAAAACATAAACATAAAACATAAACACAAAAAGTATGCTTCGAAATCCACTATACTCAAGAAAGATAGGGGTATAAACCATGTACTGATGGGCCATCATTCTTATCATTCTTATTGATTTGGATCCAAGTCAAGTGCTGTATCCTCATGTTGCTATGGCAACCAAATTACTGGTTATTATTAGTTATATCTGGTGATTTTCCGCATATAAATAGACAAATGTATTTTCAACATATGGTGAAAATTTGAGATAAAACAAGCAAAATTTGACAAAATGAGAGCCTTAGTGTCATTACTTATTGAACAGCCTATACTTATATAAAGTTATAAAATGACCATGATCATGTACATATACATATTAAATGAAATTAAACTCACAAATTCTTCTTTGATCTGAAATTCTGCGCCATCTGTGGGGTATATGCAGGGGGTGCATTCCTGGGTGCCATTCCCAACCCAGGAGCCTGTCCCCCCATACCAGGTGCCTGTCCCCCCATACCAGCAGGCATCATCTGGGGCATGCCATGTCTAAAGTTATGCTGGAAATGTAATAATGTTTTATAGTTACCAATCTTTTCAGGGCACTCATTCAATATCTAATGAAAATAAATATTGTGTATTACGATTTTCTTAAAACAGGTAATTCTACAACAGTAATTCAAGACTTGATTTAAGTATTGCATACAATTCATTTTATTCAATTGAAGTCGGAATTACTTTGAAATACATTACATTTCAATAAAAGATAAAATATTTACAATAAAAGAAAAAGCGTTTTCTGAAACCGTGATGGCATCACTTCTAGTTGATAGTAACATTTCTAAGAAAGTTTAAAGTAAAACAGCAAGATATCAGTATTCAATGGGGACAGTTGAAAACCACATCAAAATACCATGTTGAGATTTGAAAATCACAATACATCATGTTGGACATTCATTGGATCCATTTGAGAAAAGGTCTTCTGTTGTATAAATCCTCACCTGTGTTGCTCCTACTACAGGTACAGAAGACATCATGCTATACCTCAAACTGGTGCTAGGTATTAACTAAAGAAAAGTGTAGAGTAGTAGTGAAGTTAGTAAGTATAAGAAGTAAACACCAAGAAGAAATTTGGGTGTTACTCCCATAAATGTAGATTTTTATTTTAACATGGTTGGCCGATCCAAAGCCAATATGGCACTACATTTATAGGGGTACCAGTGATCTCCCCAGGATTTTTTCTCAGGTGGGTGCAAAATTCTGATTTTTACAATTCAGTCCAAAATTTGGCAAAATATGCCAATTTTTCATGATTTTTCTTATTTTCAAGTGGGGGCAAATGGATTTTCAGGTGGGTGCAAGCCTATTTTGAAAATCAGGTGGGTGCTGCACCCTCTTGCTTTAATGCTGGAGAGATCACTGGGTACCAGCACCAGTTCCATTTCTAATTGATTTAGATTGACGCATGCAACCAACACTGAAAGTGCCTTGAAAGCTGTGCAAAAAACAGTATCAGATATTCAGAATGGAACCCTCTTGGCTATGGTTGATAATAATTAGTAGGGGTGCTACAGAACTAAAGGAAATGAAGTTTGACCAAATGGATTTTCCATATAACTCGGGGAGAGTCACATCAAAAGGTAAAATTCCAGAGGGAAAGAACTTTTTGGTGACACCCTAACTTATATGAATGATGTCCAAAATCATTGTGATTTGCCCCCTTTCCAGCCATATAAGGAAAATTGAAAATGCTGATTTGCTTTTCACAAGAATTTTTCAAAGATAACATTTTTCACTAATGAATGTTCATTCATCCCACCCAGAAATTAATTATGTTCTCCCACAACAGTTGAAATTTGGACACCATTCTTTAGCCCATATTAGTTGAAATTTGGACACCATTCTTTAGCCCATATTAGTTGAAATTTGGACACCATTCTTAAGCCCATATTAGTTGAAATTTGGACATCATTCTTTAGTCCATATTAGTTGAAATTTGGACACCATTCTTTGGCCCATATTAGTTGAAATTTGGACACCATTCTTTAGCCCACATTGGTTGAAATTTGGACAACGTTCTTTGTCCCATATTAGTTGAAATTTGGACAACATTTTTAATCCAATATTAGTTGAAAGTTGAACACCATTCTTTAGCCCATGTTAGTTTTTGCAACAAGAATCTTGCTTTTTAAATTTGCTTCTTTTTCTCATTTAGAGAAAATAAACAATTCAAATTATTTAACAAAAATAATGGCATTCATATCAAAGCTTATATTATGTGTTAGTCTGTGCGAGATAAGAAGATAGATATAGAATATAGACATAGATATAGAATATATAAGGGTTATGTACTGGGAGGTTTTGGATACAGGGATATTCCATGTATCCAAACCGACCGTGCATAACTGGTGTATCTCATACTTGAGTGGGTTTAGGGTAGATATAACCTTTTCGACCTTTTTCAAATGACAAGATATTTATATTTAACATTTTCGTAATATTCTTTTTGTTCAATACAATGAAATTGTAACATTTAAACTTAAAAAAAATTAAATTTTAAAATTAGAAAATTAAAACTTTTGATATTTAAACTTTTTTAAACTTTTGAAAAATTCCCGGGAGCGGGATGGATATATTATATCTGCCCGCATTTGGCCTGGAGCGGGACATATACAATATATCCTGCCCGCTCCTCAGATATGATATATATTCCCGAGTGATATCTACCCCAAACCCACTTAAGTATGAGATACAGACCTATATCATTTAGTATAAAACAAACCACTTCACTAAACAAGGGATCTTTTCAAAACATCAATATCTGACAAAATACAAAACTTATTTTAAACACAATTTAATTGAAAAGATATTAACTAATGCATACACTCTTTAACTAACATTTTGAAATGATCCCTAAGAAACAGAAGATATAGAACGAAGATATTAGAATGAACATTAATAAATAATACCTAAGTAAGTACCATTAGTTGGGAAGTGTGAAGTCATGCACATATCAGAGTCTAACTTACTTGACCAGAAGCTCCAAACTGAGGCGGAAAGCCTCCTGCCATTGTCCCCTGTTGCATCTGGCCAGTTTGTATTGGTCCACCTTGCATGGGGCCACCTTGCATCTGAGCACCTTGCATCGGTCCAACTTGCATGTGACCTCCTTGCATTTGACCTCCTTGCATTGGTCCACCCATCATTCCCTGCCCTTGCATTTGACCAGGTTGCATCTGACCACCTTGCATTTGTCTTCCTTGCATTGGGCCACCTTGCATTTGGCCACCCATCATACCTTGTATTTGTCCAACTTGCAGAGGTTGTGGCATCATTCCAGGTTGTTGCATCATTGGTTGTGTTCCTGGCATCATACTGAAACCTAAAAGCATGAATGCATTTGAAAATCTCATACAATTATCTTGTAATAACTATCCTACAAGCATACATATAAATACACCGTGTACAATGTAGAGCATTTTATCTTGCTGTCTTTTGAGCCCTGTATACACTGTAAATTGTGTTTCAACAGTTTCAATCGTTTGAATACTTGCATCATTTTAAGAATCTCAATGCCCAGGCATAGAATTTTAGTGATTATTTTAGGATATTAGAATCTGTAACTGAACCCAGCTACATTTTGCACCCGACTTGTCACTCCCAATAACTGATCCAGGCCCTAGTCCTTGGATAATGACTGTTACCATTAGAGATCACACGATACAATAGATTTTGGTTTGATCTATAACCAATATAAACACAATGTTACAATACAATAATCTCATGAAGAAATACAAACAATTCAAAATATCAATATCTTATCCCGTGCCTGGACTAAGGTCCTGTGAACATCTCAACCTTTTGTCTGTGCGATTACAACATGGGAGAATTTTACGCTTCTTACACTTCAGATACCTATTTTAATAGATTCCTTGGTATTTTAGCATTCTTTTCGTGTAGTTAAATCCACAATTGTCTGGGTTTATCGGCAGAACGAAGACATTTTCGTTTTTGATCGCAATATTTGCGTGTAACATTTAACTTATTTCAACCGTCAAATTCCTCCATATTGGTAATTCCGGGCCACATCCGGGACAGTCAAACAGGGGATTCCCCTTTTAAATACAACTGCCATCTTGAAAAGTGATGGAATCTCTATCGATGAAAAAGAAAAATGTTCCCGTTCTGCCGATATACCCAGACAATCGGCGGTTCAAATATATTAGAAGTTACATTTTGAGTTCTACAATGCATTGGGGTAGGTATCTTAAGTGAAGGGGGCGTAGATAATTCTCCCGAGTTGTAATCGTACAGGCAAAAGAATGCGCTCGATACAGGACTATAGTCCTAGCACGGGATAATCAATATCAATGAACCAATTCATGGATATTTGACCAGAGGTGATTTTCCAGCAATTATACAGTGCATCGAGCAATTGCAAATAGATCTAACGTTAATATTTTTAAGATTAATATATAACTGCTAACCTTGCGGCATACCCCCAGTTGGTCTTTGGAAACTCATTCTTCTCCTGAAAGAAAATGCAAAACTGTTACAAAATTACAAAAAATAGTTTCTTTTAAAAACAAACCTCCCCGGCGGGGAATCGAACCCCGGTCTCCCGCGTGACAGGCGGGGATACTCACCACTATACTACCGAGGACTCGGCTGAGTCGGGCTCAAGACGATTTAATTTTTTTGCCAAATTTTTATTTTCATATCGGATTTTTGCATTCATTTATGCTATTCTGACGAGTCTGTTGATTCCACAGAATGAGTTAGAGGTACAAAATTTATAAAATATAGACCCGAATGCACTTACTTGGCTAAATCACTCAATATATTAGGAAACGTTGTCGATAATTATCTTTCCAAAATTTTGTTCGCCATCTTGACTGAATTGGAAAAAATAAAGTTTCGCATCTTATTTGACGATAGTTTTCAATCTATAAATTGAAACTTGAAGACAAAAAATCAAAACTAGAAAGAAAACATAAGAATCATATAAATATATTTGATCAAAGAGAAAAATGCTAATATATTTGTCACAACTATGAGTTCGAAACAATCTCATTGATTGACAGCTGGCAGCGACCTCTTTGAATAAAGGTTGTTTTCAAAGTCAATCAGACATGAACAAAGTTGCACTTATTACAGGTAAGTATATTGGTTGTTATTCCTTCAGGTGCAAGTTCTGGTATTGGAGAAGCTACAGGTGTTGAGCTTGCAAGTCATGGATGTAATGTAGTAATCACTGCTTATCTTTTCCTTTAGGTGCAAGTTCTGGTATCTGGTATTGGAGAATGTTGAGCTTGCAAGTTGTGGATGTGCTGTAGTAATCACTGCCTATCTTTTCCTTCAGGTGCAAGTTTTGGTATTAGAGAGGCTACAGCTGTTGAGCGTGAAAGTCGTGGATGTGCTGTAGTAATCACTGCTTATCTTTTCCTTTAGGTGCAAGTTCTGGTATCAGGTATTGGAGAATGTTGAGCTTGCAAGTTGTGGATGTGCTGTAGTAATCACTGCCTATCTTTTCCTTCAGGTGCAAGTTTTGGTATTAGAGAGGCTACAGCTGTTGAGCTTGCAAGTCGTGGATGTGCTGTAGTAATCACTGCCTATCTTTTCCTTCAGGTGCAAGTTCTGGTATTGGAGAGGCTACAGCTGTTGAGCTTTCAAGTTGTGGATGTGCTGTAGTAATCACTGCTTATCTTTTCCTTCAGGTGCAAGTTCTGGTATCAGGTATTGGAGAGGCTACAGCTGTTGAACTTGCAAGTTGTGGATGTGCTGTAGTTATCACTGCTTATCTTTTCCTTCAGGTGCAAGTTCAGGTATTGAAGAGGCTACAGCTATTGAGCTTTCAAGTTGTGGATGTGCTGTAGTAATCACTGCTTATCTTTTCCTTCAGGTGCAAGTTCTGGTATCAGGTATTGGAGAGGCTACAGCTGTTGAGCTTGCAAGATGTGCTGTAGTAATCACTGCTTATCTTTTCCTTCAGGTGCAAGTTCTGGTATTGGAGAGGCTACAGCTGTTGAGCTTGCAAGTCGTGGATGTGCTGTAGTTATCACTGGGAGAAATGTTGACAACCTCAATAAGACAGCAGCTGCATGTTATGAAAAAGGACTGAAAAAATCACAGGTAGATACGGATAAATGGACCAATGAAAATATGTCCCTTTTAACAAAATTCATTTTGATTGATGGACCAATGAGAATCTGTCTTCCTTGGTGATGCACTGTGGGGGATATTAATTTAAATGATGAATTGGTCTATTTTGGCACATTGTATTTCCTTAGCAGGGATGGGGGTTTGGGATTTCTGTTTGTGGAATTGAGCTCTCTTACTCCCAACCAAAAGTATATATAAAACAAAAGATTTGAGAGTAGTGAGATTCGAAACTGACAACCCTAATGAATATGGAGCACTTGCTTGACCAATAGCCTTTACATTTGAGCACACCATTGGGTTCTAAATACTGGCTCCTAGCTTGCCTTGACATATAGAAAACACCATATACTGGTATTTCAATATGTGCAGATTTTAAAGTTGAATTTGTATAGCAAAAATCTTGTATGATAAACTTATATGATTTTTGTTTTTACAGGTTCTCATTGTTCAGGCTGATTTGACTATACAAGCTGATATAGAAAGGATCATTGAGAAAACAATAGAGCAGTTTAAAACATTAGATATTCTGGTAGGATATTTGCATTTTATATAATACAATAAAAATAAATAATGTAAACCCATTTTCAACCATTTTGCATCAAGCCACAGCCCAATAGCCAGCTTTTGCCAAGAGGGGGGGGGGGATCTAGGGGAGGGACAAATTTTACAACTTGAACCCATAATCACTTGAATAGTGCTTAAAATGGTGAAAATTTACATGAATCTCCTGGTCTGTCCCAGTTCCCTATGGATTAGACAGTTTTTACTGTTGACCCCCATATATTGAAATTGATATCATTCAAAACAAGTGTTTTTCACTGATTCTTGTAGGTTAACAATGCTGGAATCATGGTGACTGGAGGGCTGAGGAATTCCTCATTAGAGGACTTTGACACACTATACAATACCAATGTTAAGCCAATGTACTACATCACTAAACTGGCTGAGCCATATCTTACTAAAAACAAAGGTCAGGTACATGTAGGTCTATATTATGATAAGTCTTATATTGACAAAAGCCACAGATGGACTAAAACGCATAAGCTCAGAGCATCATTTCGAGAAAAATATACAAAGTTTTTAGTTTTTTATGATAGTTGGATATATACATGTAGGATTGTCGAATACACCCTGTAGCGTTAGGCACAAACGTTTTCTGTACCCCAAACGACCGAAGGGAATGAGGGGTTGGAAAGCTTTTGTGCCTAACCCTAAGGGGTGTATTCAGCGATATTACCCCTGCTCTGAGGTCTATATTACGATTTGAACATGAAAACTCACCAAAATGTTTCGAATATTCATTATGGTCTGCCATTACTACGACCCGCCGTTTTGACATCACACATTACACGTATTACCAGGGGTATTCTTCGTGAATATACCCCGGGTGAAATGTTGACTTTGTTTACAGTTTATAGAAGGCGTGAATACAGTCATGTTCGAATTAAGAAATATAGACCGAAAAGTAGGGGTAATATCGGCGAATACACCCCGCAGGGCTAGGCACAAACGTTTTCTGTACCCGAATGACCAAAGGGAGTGAGGGGTTCGAAAGCTTTTGTGCCTAGCCCCAAGGGGTGTATTCGATGATATTACCCCTGCTCTGAGGGGAAAAAGTATCTTAACAAAAAGAAAGTCATTATCATAGAAAAAACACCAATGGCAACATGTATGACATACAAAGAAGAAATAACTTAAGACCCATGAAGAATTTAAAAGAAAATCATATTTTTGAAATATATTTAAGGATTAAATTTTTTTTCAAATTTTGAATTTCCCGCCAGTTTAATTTGACGGGGGAAAAACAAGATGGCTGCCATTTGATGTAAGAAATATCAGAAAAAAAGTTGCTTCACTTTTAGTTTTCACAATGAGCACAGTTTTCCGGTTTAGGTTTTTTGACTGATTCTGACACTTCATCACCAGGGTCATGTATAGAGATTATAAAATTGAAACCAAAATGTTGTGCTCAGCATGAATTTGACTGAAATATGTGTAACTTCACCAACACAATTGAAGTCTCAAAACTGGATGCTCAGTAACTTTGAGTGACTATAATCCCTTGATTACTCAGATAAACACCAATTCACTTATCCAGAAATACCATTCAATGTCAATAGAAAAAAAGTAAGCAATGTTTTGGAGGATATGTTTCAAACTTTTTGTATAAATAATTAATTTAATATTTGCCATTGATTTTTTTTCAATTCTGACAATATTATATGCACTGTCTTTGATGCCAATATTCTTCATCAATTGTGATACAAATCGATATTTTTGTAATCTCAGAAGAAGGATAAGATATTGAAGTTTAATAATATGTGTGATTGAGTTGGTTTTTCGGACAATACAATTTTCAATATTTTTTAAGTCGATACCCAGACTCATCCCCAGACTCATCCTTTCTATAAAGCATGGTATAAATGTTGTATTTCTCTGAAAAGTGTGATATGAATGTTGTATTCCTCTGATAAATGTTGGATAAATGTTGTATTTCTCTGATAAATGTTGGATAAATGTTTGTATTTCTCTGATAAATGTTGGATAAATGTTTGTATTTCTCTGATAAATGTTGGATAAATGTTTGTATTTCTCTGATAAATGTTGGATAAATGTTGTATTTCTCTGATAAATGTGATATAATTGTTGTATTCCTCTGATAAATGTTGTATTTACTTTTATTTCCAGGGAGTATAGTGAACATAGGCAGCATATCTGGCATGATGCCCGTAAGTTCGTTTTATAAGATTTTAATTAATTAATTTATTAAAAATAAAAGTATTTTCTTATGTTTATTTTGCTTTTAAATCCAGTAAAGAATGATACAGGGTTCTTTGTTGCAATTCAAATATACTATCACTCCTATAAAAATAACCTTGTCCAGTTCTTTATAAACTATAATGCACTACGATGACATCAGATTCAGTTCTTTATGAAACCATAGTGCACTGCGGTGACATCACTCATTAACCAATAATGGCACTGCTCGGTTCATTATGAAACCCGGGTATGAAGCCATAATGCACTGTAAAAATGTTTTTGCACAATTGATCATACCTTGTGTTAATGTACTGAAATACTCTATGGCTGTGACCCACTTGGCATTTTTTGCATATGTTTCATTTTTATTCTTATTTAATATATGTGTGCTGTTGTATCTTCAGATGTCCTTTGTGATGTTGTACGCAATGACGAAGGCATCCATTGATATGTTCACCAGGTGTATTGCACAAGGTACTAACCCTGTGGTACTTGAGAAGGTCCCCATATACAAATTCAATAGTACATGTATGGAATGCTTCATAGGGAACCAGTGCTTTCAATCTGGCACATTCGCCAATATTTACCCCAATATAATTGCCCATGGTATTAGAATAACCAAGTTCAAGTTTATTCAACTATTTCATTTGGAATCCTAAAGCATAAAATGATAATACCAATATAATTAACATTTAACTGTATAACTTTAATGTATTTCATAAAACTTCAATATTTAAAGTGTCTTAAAGGAGGAGGGAAAGTATTGCAACAGGTTTCGGACAGTCACATGTTGGATTTTGGCTATTCTCTGAGGATTTAAACAGGTGCATATGTTAGATCAATGCATTACCTCCAGGAAAAGCACTCGTAGAGATGATAAAATAATTTCGACTTTGAGACAGGGAAGATGCAAACAACCCATCCACATGTTTTTCTGAAATGTTGTTCTGATTTTCAACCTCTTCCACCTCTGCTTTTTTAATTTAATAATTTTTCTTGCATCAATATGTTGCTTTTTGACACACAGTTAACCCCTTTAAAAGGGTTTAAAGATATCTATTATGGGTGACCAAAATTAGCTGAAAGCAATGGATAGCATGAGTTTTCCCTATGGGAAAATAACATGGGAAATAATGTTTTCCACTTTATCTAAAAGGAATCACTTATGCTGCATTGATCTAACATGTGCACCTGTTTAAATCCTCAGAAAAAAGCCAAAATTCAACATTTGACTGTCCGAAATCTGTTGCGGTACTTTCCCGCCTCCTTTATACTCAACCTATAATATATAACTTCATTATATTCCAGAGCTAGCCCCAAATGTGAGAGTGAACTCAGTTAAGTAAGTGAATGTTTTAAACTACTAGTATAGCTGGCTTTTGTGTTTTGTATCGATGTTTTGTAAATCTGTAGGATTTTTCAGTCAGATGAGAATCAGATTGTGTTTTGGCCAATTTAATTTGATAAACCATTTGAAGAAAAATGTTGGAAGAAGACTTGATTACTCAATGTATAACTCAATGTATTACTCAATGTATTACTCAAATGTGTTACTTAATGCATTACTCAAATGTATTACTCAATGTATCACTCAATGCATTACTCAAATGTATTACTCAATGCATTACTCAAATGTATTACTCAATGCATTACTCAAATGAATTACTCAATGCATTACTCAAATGTATTACTCAAATGTATTACTCAATGTATTACTCAATGCATTACTCAAATGTATTACTCAATGCATTACTCAATGTATTACTCAAATGTATTACTCAATGTATTACTCAATGCATTACTCAAATGTATTACTCAAATGTATGACTCAATGATATTACATGTACTTAAAGTATCTAATGATATTGTGATTCTATTTTAATCTATTAACTGAGAAAGTGGGATCAAGTCCAAATATTGACAGTTGTGGAAAAACAATGTTTAATTTCATGATGGGTGAAGAACTCTTCGCCTTTGCCCCATTCAACAAAATTTGAAAATGTTGATTTGGTTTTCAGCATAAATATATTTTATATTTCAAAGTCAACATTTTTCACTGATTAAGTCATCATTTACTTCCTTTCCATAAAAATTCACTATGTTTTCTCAAACTGTTGCCACCTTCCACTTGTATGACCTTTGACTTTATAAACAAACAGATGGACAGACAGCCAAACAAGTGGGAGGTTACAACAGGCCAAATGACATGTGAGACTTTACCATGAGACACACTTTGACTGTATTTGTGATTGCTATGTTACAGCCCATGTGAGCTAACCATGAGACACACTTTGACTGTATTTGTGATTGCTATGTTACAGCCCATGTGAGCTAACCATGAGACACACTTTGACTGTATTTGTGATTGCTATGTTACAGCCCATGTGAGCTAACCATGAGACACACTTTGACTGTATTTGTGATTGCTATGTTACAGCCCATGTGAGCTTACCATGAGACACACTTTGACTGTATTTGTGATTGCTATGTTACAGCCCATGTGAGCTAACCATGAGACACACTTTGACTGTATTTGTGATTGCTATGTTACAGCCCATGTGAGCTAACCATGAGACACACTTTGACTGTATTTGTGATTGCTATGTTACAGCCCATGTGAGCTAACCATGAGACACACTTTGACTGTATTTGTGATTGCTATGTTACAGCCCATGTGAGCTTACCATGAGACACACTTTGACTGTATTTGTGATTGCTATGTTACAGCCCATGTGAGCTAACCATGAGACAAACTTTGACTGTATTTGTGATTGCTATGTTACAGCCCATGTGAGCTAACCATGAGACACACTTTGACTGTATTTGTGATTGCTATGTTACAGCCCATGTGACATGTGAGAGCTAACCATGAGACACACTTTGACTGTATTTGTGATTGCTATGTTACAGCCCATGTGACATGTGTGAGCTAACCATGAGACACACTTTGACTGTATTTGTGATTGCTATGTTACAGCCCATGTGAGCTAACCATGAGACACACTTTGACTGTATTTGTGATTGCTATGTTACAGCCCATGTGAGCTAACCATGAGACACACTTTGACTGTATTTGTGATTGCTATGTTACAGCCCATGTGAGCTAACCATGAGACACACTTTGACTGTATTTGTGATTGCTATGTTACAGCCCATGTGAGCCCTTGAGACACACTTTGACTGTATTTGTGATTGCTATGTTACAGCCCATGTGAGCTAACCATGAGACACACTTTGACTGTATTTGTGATTGCTATGTTACAGCCCAGGGGTGACAGTTACTGATCTACATCTCAGATCTGGTATGGGAGCAGAAGCGTATGATAAGGTAAGGATAGTAAAACATATGCACAGTTTTATAGAGTATAACATACATATTGGAATAACCATCTAAAATGAACAAAACAAAAAAAAATTTGATAAGATTTCAATATTCTAACTATACACAGTGAGGGGACATAGATGTGTTTGTCCATCCAACTGCGTCAGTGATTTGCCCAAAAACTGGGACTTTTTACCCAATTTTGATAGCCTATTGGTCCCAGTTTTTTTTAAAATTATTTGGGGAAATATTGCTCAGGACACTTTGTTTGCTTTTGAGACTTTTTTTCATATGAATAATTTAAATAGGTTTTACACATAAAAACCTTCTACTCCATGGCCACTATTCTTTTTTCCTAATAGAGTTCCATTTGAAATTTGAATTTTTGTTTTTCTGTGTTGGTGGTCCAATGTTGTCATGGTGATACAATTTTGTCACTTTCATGATAACAACAAGGTTTGGTGTATATTAGAACATATTTACAATTTATTATTTACAATTTATACATACAACAATATTTAATACACTCGAGCAAAATATACATTTAGACATATACAAAGAGTATATCATTGGGGCTAAGTATATCTAAGTGGCTGTTTTAGTGATAGTCTCTAGCATCAATGCATCATCCCTGAAAGTGCTACATAGTTTAGCATGGCACAGGCCCAAGGCTTGTGCAAGGCATATATTCCCCACTTGACCAAATTAGCTATCTGATGTTTCATAAGTTAGTTTAGTTTAAAATGAAGTAAAACCAGACTCATCCTTTGATTTCTGCTGGGAATCTTTGTCTTGGTAGTCCAACTTCTCTGATTTCTTTCTCAATGCAGCAGAAACAGCATATTTGGCCTCTCTTGCCAGGAAACAAAATTAATTGTTGATGTAATTTTCTATGATAGCAATAAACGTTTTTCTCATTTAGAAATCTTTTTATGATAAACCCTTGATCTATTTAACCTTGGTTTCTGTAAAATAATTGATGTATTATACTATGTATATGATTTACCATGTTTTTTATTGCACGTACATAGTTTTATCCTTTGAGCAAGTTTGGAAAGATATGCTCTGTTCATTGATAGAGTGATTTTTATAATGTTTCCATAATACTCAAAAGTTTGCAACTCATGAACAGTACTGTCAACCCCTAAAGATTTTCTCGCGGGACAGATTTTTTAGACCCAGTGCCCAAAATTCGCGGGATTTTGCGGGACATCTACTAAATTCGCGGGATTTCGCGGGACATTTAAGGGATTTGCGTGATTGCGCTAATAGGCCAAATTTTTTTTTATCAAATTCGCGGTATTTCGCGGAACCATTCGAGGGACAAACACCCTAATTGCGCTATAGTTAACAGGTTTACCACCAAAAACTTGATAGAGGGACAGATTTTTTAGACAAAGTGCCCTAAATTTGCGGGATTTCGCAGGACATTCACCTAAATTTGCAGGATGTCCCGGGACATTCAAGGATTTGCGTGATTGGGACTAATGTAAAAGCGTGTAAAAGTACTTAAATCAAACTTCCAGATACTGATTAATCAAATACAATGCACCGTTGCATTGTAACTTAAATAAACGTCAACACAATTTCACAAAATACGTATAGGAATATTATTAAACTTTATTGTAATTTTTCAAAAGCAAAAACCATGCTTCAGGTGTGAATTCCGTAATCTAACACGAAATTCAAAAATTCGGAACAATACTTTGCACTTCTGGCGTCGTGAACAACTATGAAACGCTTACCCCCATAATGTTATATATTAAAATGTACCTATTCATGGCATTTTCTTTCTGATATAGGGGTTCGATTAATCTACATCAAATTATAGGGAATGGGGTTACTTTTCTAGATAGGGTTTGTAGAAAAAACAGGTACCGGGTAGTAAATCCTCCATGCTGGGTTCAAACTTGGTACCCGGTCGAAAAAACCGGGTACGAATATACAACATAATTAGATCATTAGAAAACGTGTAAGATTTGTTTTGAATTTACAAAAATGTATGTAACTTCCTTCAAAATTGAGCTAGAAGCTTATTTGAAGCTTCTAGCTCAATTTTGAAGGAAGTTACATACATTTTTGTAAATTCAAAATAAATCTTACACGTTTTCTAATGATCTAATTATGTTGTATATTCGTACCCGGTTTTAAGGCTCTTTTCGTCCTCTATCATCATATTTCCATTGGTAATGAAAGGGGGAGGGGGGATGCGATCGCACCCCCTCCTGGCTACGCCAATGACATTGTAAGACGATTTGAAAAACAAGACAAATCAATCTTACTCTATTTTCAATAGTTCGTTTGTTGGTACGTGAATTGTTTTGATTATGATTTAAATCTGTAAATAGCTATCGTTGCTTTAGCAGGGAGGTGACGTGTTAATTTACATGATTTTGATTATTAATCATAATTTAAGTTATCCCAATTTTCGACAAAATGTCCACTGAATTGTAAATTGTTATGTCTTACAATGTCATAGGCGTAGCCAGATGGTGCGATGGTGCGATCGCACCCCCCCCCCCATAACCGATGAAAATATGGCCATGAGGATAGAGGAAGAAAAGAGCCTTAAATATACTTTTTATTAGAAGCTTCTAGCTCAATTTTGAAGGATGTTACATACATTTTTGTGAATTCAAAACAAATCTTACACGTTTTCTCATAATCTAATTATGTTATATATTCGTATTTTTCGTTTTTTGGGTACCCGTTTTTTGACCGGGTACCGGGTACCAAGTTTGAACCCAGCATGGAGGATTTACTACCCGGTACTCGGTTTTCTACAATGCACCCTTTCTAGATATCAGCGTCCATTTATTGTAACTCGCGTTTGCTAACATTTGCTCAGTTCTGAGATGAAGGCCACACGGATAGTAAAAAGCCCAACGTTAGAACTATTTTTGACCTACATCCCTATTTTCGTAATTAAAATGAAAGTTGAACCCTTCCTCTTTATTTTGATACCAAACAACAGCATGCTGGGTACTTAAAATTAGGTAAACTTTACTCCTCAAAAGTGCAAAAACTTAGCTTCTTTTACAAGATAAGATAATCACAATATAGGGGATTGCAACAATTTCGGAAATTCGCGGAGGTCAAAAACCACATTTGCGGGACTTCGCGGGACATTGCGGGACACGCGAATTAGCCTAATTTTGATCAAATTCGCGGGATAATCCCGCCATTCGCGGGACACTTGACAGCTCTGCATGAATACTTACTCTCTTTTCAATTCTATGCAGAGCTCTGTGAAGAAGTGAACGCTTGTCTTTTTCCTGTTGAGATTGTGAAAATGTTGGGTCATAAAGTGGAGACATCATCAGGATAGTTTCCATTGTGCAGTCAGCCTTTGTGTAAAAGCCGTTTTTGCCAAATTTTGAAAAGTCTATTGCCGGCCATTCATATACATGTATCTCATTCAGGTCTATCACCATTGTGACCTCCTCCACTTTCTCCTCAACTTTAGCATCACTGAATGGAACTATGCGATTGCTTCGCCTCCATAGCTGTCTTGTTTCTTTTGATTTGCAAATTGCGACCTTGCTCATGGCACTTCTAACCCTATGACTCCTAGTTGGTTGTTTTTCCATCTTCAAATATTTGCGTAATTTATGTCTTTGCAGATCAACTCTCAAGAATTTCTTTATCAGTTTTGTATAATGCAATTGGTTTTGTTTGTGTTTACCATAGAAACAATATTCCTATCACCAGATAATTTTTTTATTGTATACTGTGACATCACATTTGGCTTGTTGCTATAAAACAAAAAGTCTATAGCAACCATTACATTATTTGCTATGTGACATCACAATTGAATTTCTTCAGAATCCCAAAATCCCAGATTTAATCAATACATCTATGACATCATAGTTTTATAAAGGTTATATAGTTGTGATGTCATAATTGACCTTTTGCGATCAGAATTCAGGAATTTTGTTTATGGATACTGTTGTCACGTATTTCGTCTTATTGGTATGACGTCATATAGAAATGATATTAGACATGATGGAATCACGAAATGGCGGACACGTGGCAGTTTTGAGCTAAAAATATTGTCGTTTCTTATATAAAAACCATGGGTCGGATATTTACCAGGTATGCCTATTTGACTAGATCATGAGTATGTCTATATATATGCAGGGCTGTCAACTTGGGACCACCTAATATGAGTGACTTCAAAATGTTGGACACCTAAGTCCAAATCTGAACACTTTTGTCCAAATTTTGAACACCTTTGCCAACTTTTAAACACCTTTGGCCAAAGTTTGAGCACCTTTGCCAAACTTTGAACACCTCAAATTTTTCGCGGTGTCGTCAAGGGGGGGGGGGGGGGGGGGGGGGGGGAGGTACGAAAAATTTCCAATGAACATGCGTGACACATACGGGATTCGCGTGACAAATCCGAACAAATTGCGTTCGGTTTTTTCCGGCGTTCGTATTTTTACCGTATCGTAAACATATTTCGAAAAAATTTCTACAGAAATATTTTTGCTTGACAATTACCAGGTAAAATGCGTATTTTGCGTGACATTTTCTGTCACGCAAAAAAAACTGGCGTGACTTCAAATTCTTCAGCAAATGCGTGACAAATACGCAAATTGCGGGACAGTTGACAGGCCTGTATATGCGAAGTTTGGGTGAAATTCATAATAAACATCGATGCCTATAAGCGCCCCCCGATTTTGTCAAAATCGGGGGGCGCTAAACCGCTATCTAAATCATGTCAGTAAGACCTTAGACTTGGTATGTGCTTAGCATGAATGTTGATCTAGTCAAATAGAACGCTTTCGTGAAAAATAAATCAATAAAGCACGAAATATAGAAGATAATCTCTCAAAATCAAGCATCTAAAGCTGGGTGACCTAATTGTGACGTCACTAAAAGACAGAATCCATTCGGTGATCGCAAATCATCAATTGAGAAAATTCATTCTGGGAATCTATTTTCATGTGTCATGGTAACATTTTTTGTTTTATATCATCCCATCAAACATTAAAATTAATCTGTGTGAATCCAAACCCCATTGAATATTTATTTTTTATTCCAGTACCTAGATATGCAGCAGCACCTTAATCCTATACCTCGGGCTGGAAAACCAGAAGAGATCGCAAAGACTGTTGCATTTCTTGTGTCGGATGATGCCTCTTATATAACAGGGGCACTTCTTCCAGTCGATGGAGGCAGAATATGTGTGACCCCAAGATATGCCTCAAAACCAACGTGATGAAGTGTTATGCAGTTTTACATGGCTTCTGTATGAAACGCACAATTTTTGGACTTATTACATATGAATATTGGAATAGAGTTCATGATTTTATGAAAGTAATTAAAAGGGTAAACACACATTAATGAATATTTTGTATTTTGACTCTGATAGAGCCCATGGTATGTATAAACCCACAATTTGCTTGAAAAGTCAAAACCAACATAATGTAGTGTTCTTGACTATATATGGCTTTTATCAGTTTATATGAAATGTACAATTTTGATACTCATTGCATATTGATTGAGTACATAAAAAGTAAAAATAAAGTACTTAAAAATGAATATTTCTTAATTTATGTACTTTACTACTTTAAGGGGCAAGGTAATTGTTATAAATGTGTTATTTTTGGTGAAACTATTTGTTTAAGAAGACAAGGTTTTGTCATAAAAAACACATGTCAGGTTTAGTTAATAAATTAAAGCTTTGAACATTTCTATAGTGTTCAGCATTTGCTAAGGGTTAACAACCAGGAACTGGGCTTTTGTTAAAAAGTTTTTATGGAAGAACTGATATTTTGACCAAGTCCATGTGATTTACTTCACCAAGCTATTTCAGTTGGTTTATATTGGTTGAATCTTTTAGAGCAGTCCGTTATCTCCAGAAAAAGTAAAGATTAACAAAATGTCTCTTGAAATTCAGCATTTGGGGCAACCCATCTACAGTATAATGTTGATTTTCATCCTTTTTGCACTGTTTATTGAGGGGATCAGTACCATATTTGGATATCATGGCAGTTCCATATTTGGATATCATGGCAGTTCCATATTTGGATATCAAGGCAGTTCCATATTTGGATATCAAGGCAGTTCCGTATTTGGATATCATGGCAGTTCCATATTTGGATATCAAGGCAGTTCCATATTTTGATATCATGGCAGTTCCATATTTGGATATCATGGCAGTTCCATATTTGGATATCATGGTAGTTCCATATTTGGATATAATGGTAGTTCCATTTTGGATATCATGGCAGTTCCATATTTGGATATCATGGCAGTTCCATATTTGGATATCTTATTATTATTATTTTTATTATTTATTTATTTATTTTCGTCTCACAGCAGATTTATTTTACAGATACTAATAGTACTAAAATGTCATAATAAAAACACTGCCCCAGCCAGTGCGGCTTATGAGAGACGTTTCATACATGTATATTAGAAGTATTGCACATATAGTTATGTCAAATGACTGTCGATCAATAATTTGTCACATAGGCTAAATCATTGCCCATATAGCATAAGATACAATGTAGTAGTTTCTAAAAAAAAATAAATAAATACATTAATATTTACTAACTACATAATCTTTGTTTATCACATATTTGTTTGTCTGTGTTTGTACATAAGGAATACAGTTTTAGATACAATAAAAGCCATCTCTGGAGAAGTACTCAGGGTTATAAACTGGTCATTTTTACTTTTGTTTAGGAAGTCAGGGTTGCTGCTTTGAGCTTCTGATATCATAATGCTTCTTAAATCCTCATAGGCCGGACATTCTACAAGGAAATGTTGTTCATTTTCAATTTTATGATCATCACACATTTCACATGTCCTGTCTTCAAGGGGTGTCTTGGGTTTGGTGAATCTCCCAGTTTCTATTTTCAGTGGTAAAACTCCACATCTTAGTTTGGAGAGTGCACTTCTTTGATATCTAGGGAGGTTGATTTTTGTATAGCTTTCAGGCTTAAACTCACTTTTGATTGTTTTGTAAGTTCTTAGTTTATTATTTGGTCCTATTTTACTCAGTTCTTGTGTCCATTTTTCTGCATCAAACTTTGAGACTTGTTTTTTGAAGGTTGTCATTGGCGTTGATAAAGTAGTATTTCTATATTTTGTTGATATTGATTTTTTGACGTAAAATGTCCAATTTTTCATTCTATGGGTATCAGCTTGTTCATTTGACCAGTTGAATATTCTTTTGTTTATCCTTGAATTTGTCATTTTATCCAGCCTCTGCCATAGTCTTACTGTTTCAATATCTTGTCGTGATTCCATTGATAGCCATCCCATGTCTCCACGGGTGGCTAGAGTTGGTGTTGTTGTTTTAACTCCTAGGAAGAAACGACAGGCTCTGTTGAGAATGGTGTTAATTAGACCATATGGTTTGGTACCCCAAACACCTGCTCCATATAGTAGCACTGGAGCAACCATACTGTCAAACAGCTTGGTGTAGACATCATACTGGATTCCTCCAGTTTCTTTGAATTTGGTGTTGATTGAGCCAAGTGCTCTTCCTGCTGATTTAGCCAGGTGTCTCACTGTACTTGTCATGTCTAGGTGTTCGTTGAACCAGAGACCTAGGTATTTGTATTCACTTGTGTACTTCAACACTGTGTCTTCAAGCATAAAAACATGGTCTGATTGAGGTGTTGTACTTGCTCTGAAGTGTATAACTTTGGTTTTTGTATCATTAATAGTGAAGCGCCACTTATTGCACCATTGTTGTAACTTGTCTAATATTGTTTGAAGGTTTTGGGCTGAATCCGAGATAAATACCACATCATCTGCATATAGTAGGATTGACACATTTTCGTCATTACAGGGGACTCCCATGTTAAGCTCCTTGATTTCTTGGGCCATGTCATTGATGTAGATGTTGAAGAGGGTCGAAGAAATCTGGTCCCCCTGCCGAACGCCCGATAATATAGGGAAGTAGTTGGTTTGATGTTCATTCACCCTCACAGAGCACTTTGCATTAGCATACAGTGATTTTATAGCATAATACATGTTTCCTCGGACGCCTATTCTAAGTAATTTATAGAACAAACAGGCATGATTGACCCGATCAAAGGCTTGCTTGGCGTCCACGAAACATGCGAATGTATCGAGCCTCTGTAGCTTCCTGTTGTGAATTATTGTATACAGGGAGTGTATATGGTCTATACAGCTTCGGAGTATCCTGAATCCATTTTGTTCATCTGCTAGGATATTGTTGTCTTCCAGCCAGCGACTAAGCCTTTTGTTAAGAACACCACTATAGATCTTGCTAGGTACAGATAGTAGTGTTATGCCTCTATAGTTGAGGGGGATACGCTGGTCATTGTTGCAGGTTTTATAGATGGGGTTGATTATGCCTTTTGTCCAGTCATCTGGTATTGTGCCTGTTCTGAAGCAATGTGATATGATTCTGTGTAGGATATCAACACATTTGGGATTTTTCAGAGTATTGGGTGGAATCAGGTCGCATCCCGCTGCTTTGTTGGATTTTGCTCTTTTCACTGCATCATTGACTTCTTTTCTAGTTATGTCGAGATTAAGTGGAGTTGCATCAGGCAGATTTGATTCAGATGTATCTGTAGTTGTGTTCTGGCTCGTTATGTCATTATATTCTTGTTCCATTCTATTTATATTGTCCTTAATTTTTGTCAAATGTGTTTCATCAAATTTACTATTGTTAGCATCACTGAATAACTTGGCAAATTCTTTCCTCCATTTTTCCAATACCTCGTGTGTGTCTGTGATGACTTCATTTTGTTCATTTAGAGTTTCCATGGGAATTTTGCTTGTTCTATTTGTTCCTGTGCCTATTCTACCAATCTTCTTCCAGAAAGTTGGTTGGTCATCATTTAAGTCGCTAAGAATTTCATCTTGGATACTTCTCTGATAGAGGCGTTTTGCCCTTCTAAGGGCGATATCAAAGAATTTTCGTTCAGTTTTATATTGTTCATGATATATTCGCTTTTGTCGCTTATGTGTTGTAGGTTTTTTCCATTGACGTTCTACCTGGCAGACCTTTTCCCATTGTTGGCTGAGATCATTATTCCACCATGGTTTCGATCTACTTTTATTAAATTTGATATTTGTATTTATTTTTACTTTTTCAAGTCTATTGTCCATCTCTGAGATCATTAAAGAGATGAATTCATTATATGCTTGGTTTATATTGTTATGATCTTTTATTGCGGACTCTATTTTGACTATTGTCTGTTCTACCTGTTCTTTGGTGGCATCTGTCATTAGAAAGTCTGAGGGCGTGGAGTTTGCTTTATATTTCACACTGCCTGTCAATCTGTGTTGGCTGTTCTTCCTTTTAGTAGAGTTGATTGACCAGTTTATACCCAGAGTACATTCAAGAACAGAGTGGCCTGGAAGATGAGATGGAATTGAACTGTTATACATGTTAATACAAGATGACATAGATAAAATATTGACATTGTTAAAAAGACACAGATGTTCATGAGGTACTATGATGTAGTCAACAACTGATTTTCCATTTATAGAAGTAAAAGTGTAGTCATTTTTGCCATTATTTCGACCATTTAGCATACAGAAGTTTGTATCTATGAGGAAGTCTATTAGACTAGTACCATGCTTATTGCTATTCAGATCAATAATTTCACGCTCACATATTTCATCGACACCCTCTATGTAGTCAGTGTCATCATTACAGCGGGCATTAAAATCACCTCCAATTATTACATATCCATCATTTTGGAAGTCACAGATATTTGAGTGTAATGTTTCAAAAAATGTTTGAGAATCATATAAATGTGTAGATCTGTCTGGGGGCAAATAACATACACATACATTTACTGTCATGTCATGTTTAACCTTATGTTTTAATTCTATCCATAGTATTCCTTCAAAGTTATTTTTCAATATTTTCACATTAAAGCATTTCTTCAAACGTTTATGTACTAAGAAACCTATACCACCTGAGCCTCTATTTGCTCTTGCGTGGGTTGTGCCTCTGTTTTGACCATACCAAATATATGGAAAATCAGCAGGCAGTTCAGGTACATCTTCATGTTTCAACCATGTTTCTGAAATACCAATAATATCAAAGTTAAAGTTCTGAATTGTCTCAAGTTTAAAAACAAAGCTTTCCTCACTTCTGGGGTTTGATTTCCCTGAAGTGAAGCCATCTGTATTCCAGTAACCGACTCTCAGTCCGCACTGGCCGGGTTCCTATACATGATTATTAATGTTACTTCTGTATCTGAAACTGTTTGGTTGTTGATTGTTAATTGACTCTATAGGCGACCTATTAGTCTAATCAAGGCAGTTCCATATTTGGATATCATGGCAATTCCATATTTGGATATCAATGCAGTTCCATATTTGGATATCAAGGCAGTTCCATATTTGGATATCATGGTAGTTCAAATTTGGATATCAAACAATAACATTAGACTAACTGTAGAACATATTCACCTATAGTAATTAAACAGTTTTATAACTTTATGAATGATTAGCTAGGAGAGCTAAGTAATAACAAAGAGCGTTCAGTTTTCTTAAAATTATTTATAAATTTTATTAAAAAACTAATTAATACAAAAAGTTTATTAAAGTAGTCTAAAAACTATCAAAGAGTAAAAGTAATTTACAATAAGGTAACATTTAAGGGCACTTTGTTTAATATCAATATAAAAGAGTTATCTTGCATCAAGTCTTTAACTCTTGATAGGTTAGGTGTTCTTTATGAATTTTGAATTAAAGTTCATATGCATTTTGAATCATTCATTTGCAATTTGAAGTTCACAAGCATTTTGAATCAAAGTTCATTCTATTTCTAACTCAACCAAAAAGGGATTTCATTTAATTGCAATGAACAAGGCTTATCTAATTTGGTTTTTCTTTATCCCCAAATACCTAAAACAATATATTCATGTTAGATTTTGCAATGTTAACAGGGTGATAAACTGTTGAAATACATTTTTCAAAACATATCAATAATTGGACTTTTCCCTTATTTTCATTTTCAATTGTTGAAATACAAAATGCTATTTTACAAGGCACCAATTTCAGCAGAAGCATATTCATTTAATGCTTTGACATAATATCAGAATGAGAAAAATACATACAAATATAATATTCTTGTTAATTAAATTACAAGTCAAATGGTTTAATCATCATTTTGGCATAATATCAGATTGAGAACATACTGTATAAGTGGTATTTAATCCGAATGATCAAATTTCATCATTTTCCTAATTTTAATTTTCCTAATGACAAGAAACCTCCCATTGGATAACATTATAAAGACAATATTTCCGACATTTAATTTTCCGAACCTGGCAAAAATTAGGAAATAGGCAAATTAAATGATGAGGCAAAATTACCACTTATACAGTAATTACACATAAAATTCTTATAGTTAATGACAACACTCATTTCAAGATTTCAGTTCAACCCTAATCCTCTTCCATGTCTTCTTTTGCCCCATCGTAATACTTATTTCTAAATGTGATTGAAACCCGACTGTCGGATCGTTCGGCCATTTTTCTTTTCAATTTGACAATTTTTACGATATTGTTATAGTCTGCAGCAGATCCAGGTTTTACTTCTTCTTTTTCAAGATTTGTTTCTTTTCTATCAGTTTGGCCAACATTTTCTTCATTTGAGTCATTATTTTTTTCATTTGAAACATTATTTTGTTCATTTGGGTCATAATTTTGTTCATTCGAATCATTCTTTTGTTCATTTGAATCATTCTTTTGTTCATTTGAATCATTATCATTTTCATTTTGGTCATAATTTTGTTCAGTTGAAACATTATTTTGTTCAAATGTATCATTATTTTTGGATTTCTCATTTTGATTCTGTATCATTTCATCTTCATTGTCCTTTTGTGTAAAATGTCTTTCAATTTCATCATTTGTGGGTTGGTTGGTGTCGTCAGCTGTAGCATCTCTTTGAATATCCTCAGATGAATCCACAATATTGTTTTCACCATGTGTATCATAGTTTTCACCATGTGTATCATAGTTTTCACCATGTGTATCATGATTTTCAGCATTGGTTTCATGATTCTCACTATTGATTTTATGATTTTCGACATTGGTATCTTCCTTTGCACCATTGGTATCATGATTTTCATGATTGGTATCCTCTGTTTCACTATTGGAATCTTGATTCTCATCTTTCATATCACGTTCTTGATTATTGGTGTCATGTTTATCATCATTGTCACTCTCTCTTTGTTGATTAGTGTTATCATAATTTTCCTTCATCTGCCTAGAATATTCATCATTAGACTCAGTTATGTCACTTTTATTATCGTCATTCTCCGGTTCTGATGCATCGTTATTCTCTGAATCAATTTCTTCTGTGGACTGATCATTTTGTTTTGGAGATGGATCATTTTCTTGAGTGGATTGGTCATTTTGTTGAAGGTATTCTTCCTTCAGGGAATGATCATCTTGAAATTTTGGACTATCGTCATCATTTGCAGGATTTTGTTCACTTTTAGAGTAATTCCTAATGGTTTCATTAGGGGATGGATCATCTTCATTTGGAATATCTGTTTCAACTGGTTTTGATTTAGCCTTTTTCTTCTTATTGCGTCTTACCTTTTGTTTTTCAGATTTTTCATTTTTGATTGATTTGAGTTCTGAGTCCCTGTTTGAATCACTGTCATCTGATCTTGAACCATGGTCTTTCAATATTGAATCATTGTTATTCAAGTTTGAATCATTGTCATTCAAGTTTGAATCATCACTCTCTCTTGATGAAATCTCATGATCATTTGTAGAACCATGTTGATTGGATTTTGAATCATGATCATTTGCAGTTGAATCTTGTTCATTTGCTTTAGGATCTTGTTCATTTGCTTTAGGATCTTCTTTATCAGATGCTGAATCATTGTGGTCACTGTCCTTACTTGATGGATCAGCTTGGTTGGTGCTTTCAGGAGGCTTTTCATCATCTGAAAATTCAAAATGAATGATTATGTGACATCAGAGTTGCGCAGACAAAATAGTAGAGGAGTCGATTTTCCTTAAATAACTTTTTAAAGATATATCATCAAAAATCATTAACAGATTTGAAAACAATGGAGTAAAATTCTGACAAACAAAATAAAGAAGGATAGATAGAGATAAGTAAGTTTTGAAAAAATTGTCACAACTGACTTGTACATTTAATCAGGGACATGTTTCTCAATTTTATTTTTAGAAAATAAAATTAGGATTGTGATGGAAGCATTGACATGAATTTTGAAGATTTCCAATATTTCACACTCACTATCCCTTCTCTTTAAGTAGATATTCATATTTTAATTTGATGATCATAATCTTTATATAAAGGCAGAGTAATTAATGATCATGTTTATCTTGATTTCACAATAAAAGACTAATTTCCTTGTCACTTACCATCAGATTCTTTGACCTCCACAGTGTAGTGAGTTTGTTCAGAATTTGTATCATTAGTTGGAGATCTTGATTTCTGAGTAGAGTTTTTACGTTCTACAACCTTCATATTGGAGGCATTTCGATATTTACGTTCCCTACCAGTTTTAGGGCGACCTCTAGGAGTCGTAGGAGGCACTTCATCTGAATTTTCCGACCTATAGGAATATGAAATCTATGTACATGTATCAACCATCAAATATCAATAGTTTAAGGCTTACATCTAGTTTGAAGGGTCTCTCAGAGAAAGATTTTTTTCAAGATCAAATATCAGATATTCAACAATAAAAATCATAGGTCATTGACTTCAAAACTTTAAATATCTTCTGTTAATCAAATCTTAAAATTTTTTTTGGTCAAATTAGGTGCCCCTTATTTTTTGTATACAGTTCATGAAAGTAAACAAAATGTCTATGAGGTATTGATTAATCAATGTTATTTATGTGCAAACATGCCTATCCATGCAATCCAGTCACATTTTAAATATGTTGTGTTCAGTACCTTGAAGGCAATGTACAAGTGTTTATCATTGGTGCAATTGTCTTATATTGAGTCAATTTTAATTTGTAGCGACAATTGTAGATATTGATTTTCCATATATCCTTGAGTGATTTTGAATAATATAATACAGAAGAATCAAAGTTATGATCTTACATGTCTGTTGTTGAACTTCTATCTGACATTGAGGTCCATGACCTTGGGGTTGACCTTGGAGTTGACCTTGGGGAGGGGGTGTGGCTCTGTAGTCTCCCAGATGCTGTCTTTGGTCGTCGTGGTGACTGAGGTGGTGACCTTGGCGATGTCTTCACCTGTTCTGTCTCATATTGCTTCTTGCGAGTTCCATTCAAATATGAGTAATATTTCAGGTATTCACCTTCCTTGTGCCAACCTGATGATAAACAAGATTGTGTATTGCATAACATGTCTAATGGGGGGGGGTGCAATGATGCTTCAAAAGCATAGTCCCTCCATGTCTTCATATCTACTCATTTGATGACGAGAGATATAAATATTAGCACAAAATCTGGGTCTTTAAAGTGGTTCATAAAAGGGGTTCTCAAAAATTAATTTTAAAAATTGAGGGGCCCTTGAATGACTCTATTTATGATAAAAGGAAGAGCTGCACATCCATTTGGATTTATTCAACATTTTAGATGAACTTGGAATCTACCCTAAGTCCTTAAGTGATATTCTAGCTTACACTCCCCACAAAAAGTATGATAACAACAATTCTCCTATTCAACCACATGTTTAAGTCTGGTTATGTTTGGCAAGTTTCAAACAAATTCATTGCAGTTATGTTCCATTGTTACATCTTTAGGAAAAAATTTAAATTAAGCCTAACCAGACAGGCTCAAAACATATACCAAAGTTTTGGAGGGGAGTGTAAGTACCAGTAGGTATTATAGATAATCAATTGAGTGTATGCGAGTTTATTGTTATGTACTACATGAGGTAACTTAGTGTCTCAATGCAAGAGCTCTTAAATATTGAATTCTTTTGAATAATTAATGGAAAGGTAATATATACAGTAAAATCAATTGTACCTTGTGTTCCTTAGACAAATACTCAAATATCTCTTTTCATAACAAAACTCAGATCTTTTCCAATCTAGAAACTATCAATTCTGTATCAACCTCATCTTTCTCTAAACTCCTGTGTTAACCTCATCTTTTACTCAACCCCCCAATTACCCTCTTCTTTTCCTCAACCCCTGTTTTAACCTCATCTTTTACTCAACCCCCCAATTACCCTCTTCTTTTCCTCAACCCCTATTTTAAACTCATCTTTTCCTCAACCCCTGTTTTAACCTCATCTTTCTCTAAACCCCGGTTTTAACCTCATCTTTCTCTAAACACTGGTTTTAACCTCATCTTTCTCTTAATCCTGTGTTGTCCTCATCTCTTTTTAACCCTTTGTTGCCTCATCTCTCCCTGTGTTACCCTCATGTTTCTCTATGACTGTGTTGCCCTAATCCCTTTCAAAGTTTCTATGTTACTGGACTATTTAAACATATCATACCTAAATAGAACTGTTTATCCAAGATATCTCCATATTGCTTCTGTTTCAATGTCTTCAGATTCCGCTGACAGTATATATTTGCAATTGACCATAAGTATTGGCGCTGCCCACTGGAGAAGTCAGGGTGACGTAAATAGTTGTGTGAACGACCCCTCATGCTGGATGTCAACTGCACAGTGTGGGGACGACGTCGCTTTGGTTTTGTGTTTTCGAGACTGTAGAAGGAAGGATGCGAAGGCACCTGGCATGATACATGACGTGATTGGTCAACGGATGAGCGCTCTGAAATAAAATGATAAATTATTCAGATTATGTATGTAAATTAAGAAATTATCAGGGCTAACTCTAAATAAATGCCAGTGAGGATACAGTGAGGTAACCCCAATGATCTCAGAAAACTATTTAGAAATTACAATTCTACATATTTAAGTTTTTCATTTGAATCTGACATCAATTAGAACTATGGGATGTCCATTGCTGATTGTGCTGCCCTAATAGTGCATTTGGACTATCCAAGTTCTGACTTTGCATCAGGAGCATAAAATCTGAATAATTGAAATATGAGTATACCTCCTGGTTTCCATGGAGGCCTCTGGGAGGAATTGACCCACATCTTGGATGTCTTATGACGAGGTTTGAACCGTGGAGAGTCTGAATTGTGACATATTTCATGGTGAGCATCATTTCGACAGGATTCTGAAATATTGTAAAGTAAGAGAGGTTGCAAAGGCTATGAGATAAGGCAAGGATAAGGTCAAAGATCTTGTGCCCTTGCAAAATATGACCCATTGAATCTTGTGCTCTTGAAAAATATGACCCATTGAATCTTGTGCTCTTGAAAAATATGACCCATTGAATCTTGTGCTCTTGAAAAATATGACCCATTGAATCTTGTGCTCTTGAAAAATATGACCCATTGAATCTTGTGCCCTTGCAAAATATGACCCATTGAATCTTGTGCTCTTGAAAAATATGACCCATTGAATCTTGTGTTCTTGAAAAATATGACCCATTGAATCTTGTGCCCTGCAAAATATGACCCACTCAATCTTGGGCACTTGCAAAATATGACCAATTGAATCTTGTGCTCTTGAAAAATATGACCCATTGAATCATGTGCCCTTGGAAAATATGACCCATTCAATCTTGTGCCCTTACAAAATATGACCCATTGAGTCTTTGCTTTTATTGAAATTATTTATAATACCTTATTTTTTATCACATTTCATGTATGCAAGTTGTTAAATTACCTATAATAAAAGATTTGATTTTTTTCGAAATTTTCTCCCATCATGTTTCTATTCCTTCTCCCTTTAAATCTCTTTTACATAATATCAATTTCTTCTATAATTCTCCTTAGATTATACCTTGAAAGTGCCTGTCTGTGTTTATAGATGGAGCTGGAGTGCTAGAGCGTGTAGATCGACCACTTTCAGCCTCATCTTGCTTGATTCCATGTCCACGTAATCTGTTAGTAGGCTAAAGATCAAAATAACAATATTTAAATTACAGTGTGTCTAATGCAAGGCTAGATGATTTTAGAAATTCCTAGTAGCACTATCTACAGTAAAACCTGTCAATTGGAACACCTGACCTATGTATGTGGAACACCTATGTAAGTGGAACACCTCTGTAAGTGGAAAATCTATGTAAGTGGAACACCTATGTAAGTGGAACACCTATGTAAGTCAAACACTTATATAAGTTGAACACCTATGGAAGTGGAAAAGCTATATAAGTGGGATGCCTATGTAAGTGGAACACTTATGTAAGTGGAACGCCTATATAAGTCGAACAACTCAATAAGTGGAACACCTCTGAAAGTGGAACACCTCAATAAATGGAACACTTCCCCATTACTCATCAAATTAATGTATATTGAACCAAAAAGTGAATCACCTTCTAAGTAGAACTTTATTGTGTTGTACCAAAGGCACTGGCGGATCTGGGCCCCCCCCTTGGGTGGGCCCAGAAAAAAAAATTGGGCCCAAAAAAATTTGGGAAAAAGGCTCCAAAAAGTGGGCCTTTTTTGGTCATTACTTGGCCTTATAAGGCCTTATTTTTAATTTCAGGCCAAATTTTGAAGAAAATGGGCCTCAAATTTCAAAATTTGGGTTTTAAAGGCCCAAAATTTTGCACGGAAGTTTTTTTTTCTGACCTGAAATTTGGGTCCCCCCTTTGTCGGTTCCCAGATCCTCCCCTGAAAGGTGTCCAATTAATGCCTGGGTCACATTTGCTCAGATCCATCGGCCAGCGCCCGCCCGATTGAGTGTTTTGTTCAATATTGTATTCAATTTTGAACAAAATACTCAATCGGCCGGGCGCCATAGTGAAAATCGGAGCAAATGTGACCAAGGCATTACACAGGTTTTACTACACATATACTGTTATAGAGTACAATGGGAAATTCAATGCATACCTTTCTAAATCTATTGTTCATGAGTATCATGCGAGTTGAGGAGTTTTGTAAGTCATAGACTCTTGCAACTGGACTCTCTGGTGGCCATTCTTCTTCATGTGACTGTCTGAAATCATATTAACCATAAATCATATTACCCATAATGCACTATGGTACTTAGCAGACAACATTAATTTCATTTTAGCAATTAAGATTCAAGAAATCATGAAACTTAGTAATTGTGATAAAGTTTGATCAGAGCTTTACACTTTAAGCATATTAAAAAAATTAAATCCCTTTTTGTCTCAATTATAAAAATGATTAAAATACAATTATTGAAATAAATATATATATATATATTATTGCACCATTATATTTTGTACTTAAACCCAAAAATAGGTAATGCATCAAGTTGTATTTTTATGTGTTATGTAAATATAGCTATAGATTGGATTAAATTTCTTTTAAAATGGGATATAAATGTAAGTTTATATAAAATTTCAGGTAAATTCTTTTGAATAATGCATAATAAATATTTGGCATACATGTACATGTATTCTTATAGAGAATTTTTATTTGTTCAATAAATGTTCAGTTTGGGCCAAAAATAATTCCAAATCATAGTGGTTTTGAAGGCCATAGTTTCCAATATTATCCAGATACATATCCCCTAAAATTTGTATATTTTATTTACATTTTGTAGACTCTCATCCACTGATGTTTGTCCTTGAAAATCCTCACTTCAGGAAATCCATGACTAATTATTTATGGACCATAACTGTACTTTTTTTAGACCACCCTGTATAGGATTTGAATATTCACATACATGAAAAATATATTGTCTTTCAAGTCCGTGGGGTCTTATAGTATGACTTGAATAATATTTTTTAAACACACACCATTCACATGCATGCAGATATTGAGTTTTATAGGAAGCAGCTATAGACTTTTTAATCTTTTTAAATACACGCATCATTGAGTTCACAGTCATCTAGATTTACCTGAAGGATATGTCAATAGAGTTTATAATCTTTTTAAAATACACACTTCATTGACTTCACAGCTCACTCAGTTTTACAATGAAGAAAAACTTTCTCTTTCAATACACATGCACTTCAATTCACAGTCATTCAGTTTGCAAGAATAATATGCAATGAAGTTTATTATCTTTTTAAAATACACACTTCATTGACTTCACACCTCACTGAGTTTTACAATGAAGAAAAGTTTATAAATACATGAGAGCCAATAGGCTTGACAACTGCAGAATCGTGCGTATTGTGTTATTCGGAATAAACACCTTTGAAAGCTGTTACCATGAAATTCAGGAAAGAACTTTTTGCAATATTACTGACAACAGTGTTGGTTTTGACATGGAATAAGTTAGAAAATAGACAACGAACAACAATAAAAACAACTGTAAAAAATGAGAAATCTTTAGACCAGAAAAACGCAAAAACTGGAATGACAAAACTGATTGAAGTTGATACTGTTTGTGATGTCATGCTCAATATTATCACAACATTCCCTGTTTTGAATTCGAACGATGACCTAAATGAACGTGGATTTTTTAGGCGATCTTTGGTACAGTTTGAAAAGCGTCAAATGGACTTTGTCCAAAGTCTATTGTTGAATATGCAGCACCCGTGTGTTGAAAGAATACATTTACTCGTGGATAACATGGCAGTAGAAGATTACATAAAGACACACAATCTAACGAAACCCTACACGTCTGAGATAAAAAAGATGGTTCACTTTCATAAACTGTCACATTACCCGACCTACAACGACTATGCAAAATACACCAATGAGAATCTAATGAAAAAGACGATTGCAGTTATGAATGCCGATGTGTCTCTTGGCAACGGCTTTGACCTGATAAAAATGAGATATTTAACAGAAGGCAAGGTGGCTTATTGTTTGACCAGACATCCTACTTTATTAGCAAACTGCAAGTCATATACCGCAAAAGCTATATGCGCAGAGCCATACAACGGATCCCATGATGTTCATGTCTTTTACATGGACACAGCTTTTGATGACTGGAGTTTGAATTTTCTAACCTTCCCCATCAATAGGGCAGGAGTTGAAAACTTATTCATGTATGTCATCAAAAAGAGACTGAAGAAGAATATATTAAATCCATGTTCAATATTGAAGACACATCACAACCATTGCTCAGGAATACGCTCTCGATATACAAGCACCCGACTTGATCGTGGTGTGAATCTCACATATTCTACACATGTTGGATACTCCACAAAATTAGTTTGATTCAAATTAAAGTTTCTGTGGACTATACTGTAACTGTTAATATAAACCATATCCAGAAATCCTGTTAGAACATGGAGGATACAGTAAAACCTGTTTAAGTGGAACATATTTGGTTCCTCAAATCATTTTGATTCAAATTCAAGTGTCTGTGGACTATACTGTAACTGTTAATATAAACCATATCCAGAAATCCTGTAAGAACATGGAGGATACAGTAAAACCTGTTTAAGTGGAACATATTTGGTTCCTCAAATCATTTTGATTCAAATTCAAGTGTCTGTGGACTATACTGTAACTGTTAATATAAACCATATTAGGCCAGTCAATTGGTGAAAAAAAACAGCCTAACCTAGGACAAATTGCAATAGTTTGCAAACTTAGTTTAAATTGTCGATCAATATTCACCTTATATCATATCAAAAATATAGGAAAATATAATTAGTGGACAAATGTCAAATTTTACTTCATAGGTACCCCCTACGACCCACCCTTAAATTTGACTATTTGTTTAAAAAATTTTTTTTATCTATAATTGAATAGTTTTTTCAAGTTTTCTTGTTATATTATGATAATAGAATGACAAAACATAAATTTTTACCTAAGTAAACTTTTATTTGAGGCTTAGAATTTTTTGTTTCACCCTCGACGACCCCAAATGAGTCATTAAATGATTGACATTTCATGTATCTTTTCTTATATTTCTAGACTGGTGCATTCCAAAATGATTAAAAAAATCATGGTGATACATGTATATATGGACATAACATATATGGGATACCAGTATCATCAATGGCATATTGGGGAAGAAAAAAAATATATAAGTTTTACATTTTCGCCCCACCCACTTTTGGGGTGACCTTACTTTTGCTAAATAATTTTCAAACTATGCAGTATTTCCTAACAATTCTACAACTTAAAGAATGATTTGGACATATTTCATCCAATATTAACTTTCATTAGAGTTTGGGACTCCTGTTTTGGACAAAATTATAACTGCAATTTGAAAAATCTGGAAAATGGGGGGGGGGGGTATTTTGTAAGGCTAATACTGTATGTTTTGACATATATTTATATCAAACCAAATCAAATGTGCCAATTATGGGCCATTGCACTTATTTATGTGCTTATGTGAAGGTATAATAGTGTATTTGTTTAAAATGGAAGTACAATCACTGATTTAGAAAGATTTGTGAAATCTTAAAATACTATTATCTCAGACTGCTACAGGGCATTGCAGATTTTGGACTTCAAGAGAGATTACGGTTGGCAATTAGTCATCGTTATTTATATTTGCACATATTCCTCTACATTCACCACATGCCATGGAACAGTCCATTCCATTCTTTCGACATGTGCAATGCATTGTTGTGCAACCTGTCTTACAATTACATGTACATTTGATCACTTCAAGAGTGAAGAAGGTCCTGCCGGTAAAGTTGTAGCAACTGGGAGATAGTGGCCATTGTTCATTTCCCATCCCCATTCTTCTGGTGGAAGATTTACCCCCATCCATGCTTGTACTTGATGATATACCCTTAGGCTGTGGTGCTTTGCAGCATCAGATGTCGGTGGAAGCACTTTTGGATGAACAGACTCTTGACTAGAGGCAGCTTTCTCATGAAACTTTTGTAATCTCAATTTGTTTAAGGTTTGCCCAAGCTTACCTCCCAATAATGATACAAAGGCAGCTTCTCCTTCTTTTGATATCATGTTTTGTGTGGCATCATGCAATTTAAATGTACAAGCACTTTTCTGAAAGACATCAGATTTCTTTATCTGCCTTTCTGAGACCCGTTTCCCAACTCCAAATAGCCTTGATGTAGTATCACAGCCAAGAAACGCATGAATGAATAGGATGTTGCTGCACACTATGTCACCTAAAGATAGTCTTGTATCTTTGATGTTCCATATTTTGGTTTTGTGTGTGGATTGCTTTGGTTCAGGCTTGAAGAATATGTTGTGTTCAATGTTGTGGGCGCGATGAATAAGCAGCACAAGGAGATCAGTGTCATCTCCAACTAGAAAAACAGCAACTCCACGGAGTAGCAAATCCCACCGAACAAAACATGTTTTGATAAAAAAAATTGAGCCAAATTCATCCACTGGTATTTGAATTATCAAAGATTATGTCTTTATGAAACATGGTTGCCATTTTGAAATTCAGCTGTCATCTTTAGATTTCTTCTTTATCAGAGAATGTCCGTCCAATGGTATCTGGGTTATCAAAGATTACTTTTTTAATGAAAAATGGCAGCCATTTTGAAATTCAGCTATTGCCTTTGAAATTTCTTCTGAAGCAGATCTCCCTTTTCCCTAAACATCAGCATATAAAATTGGAAGCAAATCCATCCACTAATTTATTTTTGAGCAGAACTTCTTTGTCTCTAGGCATCAGCATATAGAATTTGAAAATAAATCCGTCAACTGGTATTTGAGTTATCAAAGGTTACGTTCTTTTATGAAAATTGGTGGCCATTTTGAAATTTAGCTACCACCTTGAAAATCCCTTCTCGAGCAGAGCTCCTATGTCCCTAGGCATCATCATGTAAAATTTGAACCAAATCCATTCAATGGTAATTGAGTTATCAAAGATAATGTTTTTTTATGAAAAATGGCCGCCATTTTGAAATTAAGCTGCCATCTTGAAAATCCTTTCTTGAGCAGAGCTCCTATGTCCCTAGGCATCAGCATCTAAAATTTAAACCTAATACATTCAATGGTATTTGAGTTATCAAAGATAACGTTTTTTTACGAAAAATTGCCGCCATTTTGAAATTTAGCTGCCATCTTGAAAATCCTTTCTCGAGCAGAGCTCCTCTGTCCCTAGGCATCAGCATATAAAATTTGAACCAAATCCATTCAATGGTCTTTGAGTTATCAAAGATAACGGTTTTTTACGAAAAATGGCCACCATTTTGAAATTTGGTGGCCATCTTGAAAATGTCTTCTTGAGCAAGGCTCCTTTGTACCAAGGCAACAGCATATAAAATTTGAACCAAATTCATCCACTAGTATTTGAGTTATTAAAGATTATATTTTTTCCGAAAAATGGCCGCCATTTTGAATTAAGCGGCCATATTGAAAATTCCTTCTCGAGCAGAGGTCCTACACCCATAAGGCATAAGCCTATAAAATTTGAATGAAATCCGTCAACCGGTATTTGAGTTATTGCCCGGATACACGAACGGACGGACGAATGGACGGACGAACGGACGGACGAATGGACGGACGAACGGACGGACGGACGAACGGCTTTTCTATATCCCCCTCGAACTTCGTTCGGTGGGATAACAAGAATGGTCTCAGAAGTTGCAGCACATTCAATTGCAGTCTCTACAATGAGAAGGTCTGCATCTGCTCTGCAGGGAAAACCTCAACCAATGGATTCTAGTCGCTCTGACAGCAGAAAAATAAAATGCTGCTTGTTTGTTTGATTCATTAAGAAATCTTCTTTCTTACATTGGAGTTTCATTGTGTTAATGAATTGGATTACAGTCCTGGTGTTCCCTCCATTTCTACGAAGATGAGTTGCATCTTTTGTGCTAGGGCAATTTTTTGGAACCCATCAGATACTATTTTAGCATTTTGGTACCTCAACTGCACATAGTATACATATTGGCTTAAAATGTTCTCCTATGTAAAACCTTTTTGCCAAGGAATGTGATGAAGAAGGGCGCCTCCATCAATCACATGTTGAACATCTTTGTCACTTGGCCCTTGTAAGGAAGATATTTTTGGTGTCCACAATGCTTCTGCCAGTTGTGATTCTACCGCTGGTCTCATTACACCTTTTGATTCAAACAAAGCCGGTGGAAAGGAACAAAGCTCATAACCTAGAGCCTCTGACAAATCAAAAGATCGTGTACCAGCTATGGTAAGGCGTTGAAAAAGCAAAATAGGATCTATGTGTATTTCTTCATTGTTAACCTTGACTGCAGTTTTTGATCCCATGGTCACAGCTTGGCTTTTTCTTTTGAAAGAACACTCAGATACCCTTTTCCCAATCATAGATGCCACAATCACGTTGCCTAATTATTTTGCATCATATGCATTGACAGAAGAAGCTGCAACTCCTGTTGCGATGTTACGTAATGATTGTTCAGGAAAAAGGGATTTCTTTCAACAAGGTATTTCAGGATACATTTAGCATCTGTTACATCTTTGGTGATTCTTGTTGGTGTTGCATCTTTATGCTGCTCACTTGTGGCATATGTTATATCAGTGAGTTCTTGCATTGCACTGCTTATCTCTCGACATGCAGGTGAGGAAAGAATCCACACCAGACGCTGAACTTCAGCCATGTCCCGGCCTCTCGTGAGACCTCCTGTTGACTTGATGTTTCGCATTAGGCATTGCTCAATTATGAGATCTGCAGATAGTCCTGCCCTTGACCTCACTACAACTAAATCTTACTAGCTGGGGCTGCTGTGACCTATCTGATCAACGAATGACATGTAGCCCATTCATAAAATGGGCATATACCTCTGGGCTCTGTTTTTCAAGGTTATTCATTTTTTGGAGATAAAGATATACAGACTTTAGGTATCGATTGTGACCTGCTGTTGCAAAATATGGCAACATATCATGCAAACATTGGAGACGAAGTGTCCAACTCCCAATCCTTTCTCCTTTTATGAAGTTCCTAAATAGGTCGATCATATCCATATATTGCAACCATAGCTTTGCTGTTTTTAGATTTTGAAGTGAGTCCTTCTCAGCTTGAAGCTTTTCACTGTCATGAATTACATGATTTATTATCTTATAAAGGACAAGATGCAATTCCTTCAGGTCAATATGGGTACTATCATTCTCTACTTCTACAAATGGTTGTTCTTGTGAATCATTTTGTTCTTCATTGGCCTGATCAAGATCAATGTCATATATATGAGCTGCTAACATAGTATTCAATGCACTATCAATCAGAAGGGGGCCTCTAACTGCCCTAGAAACTGCCTTACCAGATAACATATGACCAACTGTATTTTCAGCATATACCAAGCTTAGGACAGCATTTAATCCTGACCCCTCCATGATGTGGCCTACACAGCCAAGAAAACTCATCTCGGTATGAAACCCCCCTAGTCTTACAACCATTTTGTGAAAATCACTGTCTTCTAGCTCATTTTCTACAATTTTGTTTGCTTTCCACCAAAGTGGCTGATCAAATGTGATGACAGGAGTGCAGTTGTACCGTCCAGCATGAGATGCAACAAACTTCAAAGTGGAGTAGATACATGACATGTCACCTGGGTCCATATCTATCATAGGTAGAAAAATGACTGAAGATTCACCAGGATGTCCCCCTTATAAACCATCTGCATAAATCCTGACCAAAGTGGACAAGGAGTCTTAAAAAGCAAGGATGATTTCCACACAAGATCAAAGCCTGTTAAAGGTTTATCAAATGATTGTCTCACAAGCTCTTCATACCTCAAACTACTAAACATAGCATTGTCATTTGAATAGTAGTGAGTATTGATGCGACCAATTACCCCTATGTCTTCTGAAGACACATCATGTCTGATCACTGGCCGAGTTGTTCTCACTTTAGGTGTGACTGTTGCAATAATTCCCATTCAATGAAACGTGTTCTTGCCATCGAGAGTTTGAATGTTGTGATCTACATTATCTGCAACATGATTAGGAGTAATGTCAGATATGTCTGTGTTTTGCATCAATGCTGCACTCCTTTCAAACTTCTGGACCTCAGAATATGAGCAAGTAAACCCATGTTTGTCAAGTGTGTCAATCAGAAATCTTGACTGGAAATGATGATGGAGCTGCACACCTATACCAAGCTGTAATGGGGCCAAAAGGGCATTTGGACGAGTGGCCTACATCTTTACCAACAAAGAACTTGTTCAAAAACATCGACACAATGTCAGGTAAAAAGTCTAATGACTCAATGATGGAGGACATTGTGTCATATTCAGGATAAGTTTGGGGAGATTGCCTTTTTTCCTTTATGGCACTTTCTATCAAACTTGCTGCAGTTTCTATAATTTTCTCTTTTTCATCTACTTGGTCTCCTTTGTGTTGATGAAAAGCATGCAGTATTTTGGCAGCATTGTCATGAAAGGTAACAACATTTTGTATTCCTTGGATATCACTGATGATAAGGTTCTCACCAAAGAATGCTTTCAGCTCTTTCTTCATGTATTTAAAGCTATAGGGTTCAATTTCACTGTCATTTATGAACTCTTTCATCTTGCTAATAAGATCAGTGACGTTTGAAATCAACTTTGAAGTCGACCCTTGGATTTTAGATGGCGCTAGTGTTTCTAAGTTTCATTTTAAAATTGTTTAATGATTAAATAACTAAGAGTTTATGGGTCAGGAAACCATGTTGTATTCTCAAATGAGAGTTGATTTAAGCTATAGAGATGTGATATCTCAGTTGTTATTAAGTAACGGTAATTGGACCCTAATATTTCATCTTGCATCCAACATATTATGAGATTTTTAACAAGACAGGGGAAATAACTCCAATAAAAAGTTATGTACAAGACAGAATGGGTTATATCTGTATTTTGATATCAAATTTGAGGACAAAGTGGTATATATTGGAAGTTATATTGCAAAAGTAAGGTCACCCCAAAAGTGGGCGGGGCAAAAAATTGAAATTTTAAATATTTTTTTCTTCAACAATATGCAAGTTGAGAAGTCGGCATTCCATATGTGTATTACCTGTATATAGAAGTATTACCATGAATTTTTCCATGGCTCTTGGATAAAGCAATTAAGAAATATATACATTATTATCAAATATTTTGGCCATATGACAACATATTTTGGTGTATTTGGGAGGTAAATTGTCAATTGTTGGCACAAAAATGCATTAAAAGTAGATTTAAATCCACCCTGAATCTTTCCCCTGAACTAATACAACATAAAAACATGTAAAAACTATTCAAATATGGAGAAATTATTTTTTCCCTTACCCCTAGTCAAAATTGGGGTGGGGGTACTTAAGAAGTGAAATTTCATATTTGTCCACTACATATATTTTCCTATATTTTTAATATGTTGCTACATATATATCAATTCACCAATTAAACCATGTTTCAAAACTATTGCAATTTGTCAGATGTGAAATCACCAATTGACTGGCCTATATCCAGAAATCCTGTAAGAACATGGAGGATACAGTAAAACCTGTTTAAGTGGAACCTCAAAATAGTATTCCACACAGAATGTGTTCCACTTAAAGAGGTGTTTCACTTTACAGGTTTTACTGGAGTTGAAATAATAATCATAATTATATTACTTAATTTCTTATGTTAAATCAGTAAATTGTTTGGTATCAAATAACTTTTGTTGATTGAGGTTAAGTGAAACATTGATGTTCAGTATATGTATTCTGTATTTTCCCAAATTAAAGACCAATGGGGTATTAGGAGGTGTAATTCCACTTTCTTTGATCAAGGTCAGAAGGTCATAAAAGCATTCTTATTTATTGTAAAATTAAGACCATTAGCTCTGAAATTGTTGCAAGTCATGAAAGATCAAGATAACTTTCTGATGAAGGTAAAATAAATATATCCTAAGGCACTAAGGATAGGATATCATTAAATAGTTCACAATTTCCTCTTGAATAAAACAAATGTTTACATTAAAAAATATCAATAAAGTTTATCGAACAATTTATCATAGCACTTACTTTTGTTTACTTTCAAATCATTAATTACATGCAGCGGACTATTTATTAATTACAAGGGGTTAACAAAATGTATATCTCGACTCCAGTACAAATGTAAACATTAGAACCAGTAAAGGCACGCTTATAGGCAATACAAAATATCTGATCAATATTTTTGGCGATGCCTTATATTTATGTCATGCATATGAATTTCTTTAAATCGTACCTCTTATATTTTTTCTTGATATCATCTGGAGTGTCTGTCACTTGTATCGGGGTTGAAGTCCGATTCAGACCTGTGTGCACGAACACTGTTGACATTTCTAAACACTGCAGTTCAGTCTTGAAGCCTAAAAGATTTTTAAACATAATTTTTATCTACATGTATGAATTTAGACATTTTCCGATTCATAAAGAATCTGGCAGGTATTTTGAAAGTAACCGAAACTTTAATGAATTATAAAATATTACAGCCTGAATATACTGCATCAAATAACGTGATAGCGTGACATAATTAGCGTGACATTCATGATCTATAACTTGATAAAGACGAATGAATTCAATTAGTTGCAGTCTATATTTAATAACAATTACATATGAAGTAAAATAATTCATTTTGTCAATTAAAAGATATAAATGAAACCAAACTACCATACCTTATTTTCTTAGTGTCTACCCTGTCTCCTGAAGTCAAATTACTTCCTCCTATCCTATTTTTGTAATTTCTTACAAATAAAAATTAATTTCAACTAAACTTCAAAGTTGGTTTATAAAGATTCCTGGTTTCCTAGATCATGTTGCTGGCTAATCAAAGTATGTATCAATGTTTATACAACACAGCTATTCTCAATTCATGTTCAATACACATCGTGTAATACTTCATTGATCCTGTTATATAAAGTCTGCAAACTTCAATTAAACTTTTAGAAAGTTTATAAATCACCATGCAACAAAGTCTCGCACAATCTCGCGAGACTTGAGAGTAGCCTAATTCCTTTGATCAAATGAATGACATTTGGGGACAATGACATTTAGAAATGAAAGGGTGCTTGTAATGAGGAAATGTTATATTGATTGAATTGGTCTTACACAAAGAACTTTCTAGCCTTTATAAAAAAGATTGATTTTTTAAAGTGCTGCAAACATTTTCCTTTGGTGTTAGATTATAATGAAGTCAGATGTCATTGTGACCTTTATTGTATCCAGGGTTCAAACCACAGTCTCATATGACAAATTTCAAATCTGATCTTGTTTAGGGAGGGGGATTCTCAGGTAGTTTCCCTTATTTCAGTGGTTCGTTTTATTTACTTGATTAGGTTCACATTTTCTTGAAAAGTATGATTTCCTTTTATCTCAAATTCATGAATTAATTTTTTTAATGAAAATTATTGATTTTTTAAAGCACATCCCACTTCTACGACAAAATAATTCACACATATAGCTAGGCAAGGTGTGTCCGATTCCAGCCAATCTGAACACAGTATATCATATAACTACAGTGCATTATATAACCAATCACCACAACCAAGGTCATTCATTGAATGGTTGTCAAGGTGACATCTTGACTCTTGAAACTGATTCTTTTCCAACTTGACCCTTGGAAAGTTTCATTGAAAATATATGTTCTGTTAGTGATTTTGTATCTTTTAGGTAATTTCATAGAAAATATTTTGCAATGTGTGACAAGAATGTCACCCAAGACTTGATGCATTGTGCAGGATTCATTCTACTCAGGCGTTGTTTTCTTTACTTTGCATTCCCACTGCTCGCGAAGATTCTGAAAACACGTTCATTGGAATGATTCAGTCCAAATTGCAGCGATATGAGTCCAGGGCTTAAATCACCTAGCTCAGTTTTTATAGAAATATCTCCCAATTCATTTTTGGAAAATTCTTGATTTCTTTCATGCCATTTACCAGATATTTGGACAGTCAGTTTCTTACCTTCCAATATTATACCAGGAGACTACACTGTTTAATTTTTAAAAAACACAACAATATTATTACTGGTTTTGTTCAACATTGGGTTTATTTGACAAAATATAAATATTAAACACTCACTGTCATATATTATGACATGTACCATAATATGCCATATTCAAGCATGCAAAATACAAGAAAAAATTATAAGATCATTTACAAGGAAATTAGTGTATAGCTTAATTATCATGAGTTGAATTGAAGTTTTAGAGCAAATGAACATACTACTATTCCCATTCTCAGTCACCAGGCACTTAAGAGAAACATAAAGTTTATTAATCAATCAACAGGAAATAGGTATCAAACTTGCAAACCTTTTCAATAGATAAGTAAATGTTATAAACACACTTATATATTATACTGTATTATATTGTACTTATGCAACATGATAAGGCTGATCAATAACTAAAGTTGCGTCCTTCCATTAGCCTCCTCATGGGAATGAAGAGAATCCTTCAGTCCACACTGTTCATTTGCCTAAATAAACAGAAGATGTCTGAGGATGCCATTTCTGTTAGAATCATTCATAGCTTTGAAGGGGATAGAATCTTCGTGAGATACAAAACAAGTTCTGAACTAATCATAAATAGGAGTACGTTGAATTTAAAGGCTTTTACGAAGACCACACCTTTCTTGTCAATTTATTTGTAGTTACAATGAACTAAGTACACCCCCCACAAGAGGAGATCACCTATGACTACTGAAATGTCACTTGTTTTTACTTATACTACACCCAGAAAAAATACGACCCATTTTAAAAAAAGTAGTGTCTTACACATCAATATAATATAGGGTGTCTCAAAAAATGTACCCAAAAGTAAATCAACAGCATAGACAAACCAATCAATATTTTCAGACATTTTTTGCATGGTCTTGTAGTCAAAACATGAACGTTTTTTCCCTATGCACATATTTTAATTCACTTTTGCCTTTTTGATACTTACCTTTTACACCACATATTCAATGTAACCTCATTATTCGATGACAGTCTGCATCCTTACTATTACATTGTTCATCACATTTGATATTCCTGGTGGAATGTTTTGATTTCTGTTCAGATGCTGGTCTTAATTTGTTCCAGGTCTCTTAGCTTGGGTTTAGCATAAAAATGGTTCTTCAAATAGCTGCAGAGAAAAAAGTATGGACCGTCAAATCTGGTGAATAGGGAGGCTCTCACAATGTCTTAAAGCCCCCCATACAGAGAGGTCAGACGTTCAAGAATCTGCATTGGTTGGGATTCTAGTGTAGCCTCTGTAGTGTGTATCAATTTGAAACCACTGTGTTTTCATTTGGATATCATTTGGTCTCCAGGCTAGCCTGCGTAACTCTGGAGGGTCACTCCTGAATCATTTACAGATAATTGACCAGATTCTCTGTGTTTGTTCTGCCATCATCATCCTCAAACATCTTTCACTGTGGCTATTAAAAGGAATGTTTTAATGCTCATTCCAACCAAAAAGACCTAGAACAACTTAAGGGCAACATCCAAAGAGAAATTCAAAACATTTCTTCAGAATTATTATCAAATGTGATGAACAATGTAGCAGTAAGGATACAGGCTGTCATCAAAATATGAGGTTACATTGATTATGTGGTGTAAAAGGTAAAGGGTTAAAGCATCAAAAACGCAAGGCGGAAATAAAAATGGTATTGGGGAGAAAACTTTCATGTTTTGGCTACATGACCATGCGAAAAATGTCTGAAAATATCGATTGGTTTATCTGTGCTGTTGATATACTTTTGGGTACATTTTTTTGAGACACCCTGTATATGCAAATAAATTCATATACTGTACATATAATGTATAAATCTAAGAATTACAGTTCTCTAAATCAGTGACTGAATATTCAAAAAATACTTGTATAATCGGACCATTCAATATGAACTGGTTAATTAAACCAGCGTGCCACCTTCAAATGACACATTGCAGTGCATATTTACAGTAGGCCTATCAAACTAAGGTACATACAGCTTTACTGTAACAATTGGTAATTTTTGTATAGATTTTTTCCTGCATTTAACTTATCCATGACTAAGAAGGAGGTAAGTTGTTTTTGAAAATTGTATGTTAATGTATAGAATTCTTCATATGATTTACTTGCCAAATTGAGTATAAAAATGCAAGGGAAATTGTGTGATTAGGTTCTTTGAAAAACCAATACAATTCCATTTATTAAGTTCTCTTAGAATATGAAGCCTGAACCTCCTTTAATGTCAATTTAAGAAGTTACTAAATGCCAGACGTGTCACATGATTTCAATAAAAATTTGAAGTATTTTATACTCTTACAATAGTTTCTCAATTGTTTTCATGATTGTTATTAATTAATTAATTTGGGTCAACCCTGAGAAGCATAAACTGCAATATAATTTGTACAAAATTGGAAAATACAGATCGTAATCGGAAATGTTCTAATTCATTCAATATGCTAGATAAATTCTAATACAGACTGTTCTCTATCTTTATGTACAGACTGACATATGTACCTGACTGGGAGAATGGGTACTGACCTGGCTTACTATGATTTTGCTAGTTTATATAATTAACTTTACTGTACAGAATACATCACTATATAACATCTATGTCCTATATGAACTACAATTCAACAGTTAAACCATGAGGTAAATGCAATGATGGCATGCATGTTCTGAAGCTAAGCTTTAAAGAAGCCAATTTGTAATTCATCCCTAAAAAGCATTTTAGTTATGTGTGTCTATTTCTACCCATATGATTCCACTACAACTGCAGTACAAAACCTGGTCTATGGAACACTCTATGTACTCTGTACTGTACAGGGAACTATATCTGCCCATACGATTCCATAACTGTGTACTGGAACATACGATTCCCCATACTGTGTACTGGAACATACGATTCCCCATACTGTGTACTGGAACATATTTTCCCCATACTGTGTACTAGAACATATACAGCACACTCTGTAAAGGCAAAAATTGTTCCTTGTAGAGAGTTCATGAACACAGGACTTGATTTGGTTCTTTTGAAAATTATGTCGAAAATAGAGAAATGTTCCTTATTTACAGAGGTATTCCATCAGATATGTTTTCTTGTGTTCATATTTCCAGTACTAAGACACGTAGAAACAACACAACCACCAAAACATCTAACTAGAGTGTGAATCCAAACCAGCTATATACACAGGGCAAAAGAACTATTACCTCTAAATAATACATTATCTACATATATGCTCTAACTATTTACATATAACACATTTTGTTGTGACCTCCATGCAAAACACAGATGATGAAAGATAGTAGAAATCCAGCAGGTGAGTGATCAGTTTATGATCAGTTTATGATATCCAGTATTGTATAATATCATATTTACAGCTTTCTAGGTGATAAGTTCCAGTATGATATGCAATAAAACCCTGTCTTAGTGGAACACCTTTGGTACCTCTAAAAGTGTTCCACTTAGGGAGGTATTCAACTTAAAGATTAATTTAACACTAAGTCAGTTGTTCTTGATACTCTGAAAGGTGTTCCACCTACCAGGTTTCAATGTATTCTATTTTATATGAACACAGCTTTGTAAGAGATTAGTTCCTGAATCTATAAGTCCAAATATGGTAATAGTATTTCACCTGAACACACAGCTTGGAGATTCATCAAAGAAGGTTACATTTCCAAATATTGCAATTTAGATATGCAATCTGACTTTATCTGTTTGTATAGGTTTAAAAGTTACAAGTCAATCCTCTTTTTGTACTAACCCATTCCAACATGAAGTATTGTGCAGAGTGATTATGCTATAATCCGTAATATAACGAACCATCCAATTTCATATTCCACAAATAACATTGAATGTAAGCTGATTTCAAGTGGACAAGTGGGAGTTCTGCCACACTAGCAATTGATGTCACGAGTTCACAAATTCTGATCAGTTTTATCAATATATTGTAGAAATATGGTGTACTGGCCTGGCCCTTCATGGTTTTAGTTGATTGTAAAAGGTTCCAATGCATGGTTTCTCATAAAAATGACTTACTTCTTGTGTTAAATTACTACAAGGAAATGAATAATTATTGGGTCAAGTTTATTTCAAGCTGCGAGTATCTGTAGTGACAATTCCTCCTATTTTAGTTTGTTTTTTTTGTGTTTCGCATGTGGGTTTTCAACTATGTACAGTAATATGTCAATCATGCTATGATGCAACACACCCTGCTGTTCAATCCATCTAGCCACACCCCTATTGCTGTTCAATCCATCTAGCCACACCCCTATTGACCAGCTCACGATTCACAAATAGTGTCTGAAATTTGAAAAAGATTACATTTACAATAACTGAGAATACCAACATCATGCTTGATCATAAAACTTGTATTTTAATAAGGATGCACAAAGGATCAAGTTCTCCTGTTTGTTGACATTATAATCTTAAATATTGGTAAGAATCTAAACTAAGTTGAACACACAAGACGATATAGACCCATACAACTAATTTTTGTTTCAGTAAGGTAGGCATTAATCAATCCCTAATTGACGAACAAGATGTTTTTTAGTGGAACTGGTTCATAAACAACACTTGAATGTTAAATTCATGTCATTTTTTTCACCAGACATTTCACTTATTTTGCCAGTCCCCATATTACTCAAAAACTTGATGTTTTGGCATTAGTTACTTTCAACTTCAGTTACCTTTCCACACACTCAAAATTTATGTAATGTTCTCACCTTGTGCCCATCTACTATGTACAGGTGTATGTAGGGTATTGAGTCCTCAGCTCTACCCATTATCTGGCACTGAAGTAATTTGTTGCTTGTTAATTCCTCCAAGACAGCACCAGCCTCTAATGAGAATGCTTCCTCACCTAACAAGGAAAATGATAATTTAACATGTAGTGAAAAAGGAGAATTGTAATCATAAGGCAGCCAGTTTGAAGCAGCATGGGCAGATTTGACCATATAAGGAACTTTTAATTATTTATGATGAAATAAATTTATAACATAAGAAAAAATACTGGATTAGAATTATTACATATTTCACCATAATTGCATGAAAACATAACTGACTAATTTTTGTATGAAGCAACTTTTATTTGAATATCTGCAAATACCAATGCATTATAGAACAAGGCACAGACGTGAACAATATCGTACCTAAAACACAGCAGTGTGACAGTGAAGAATTTAGGACGGAAAATCAAAATGGCCACCTTAAAATTTACCCAGAATGCCCAAAAACTAATCAGTTCTTAACTTTGATACGTAGAAACTAGGGGTCCCGCGATTCATCGATATATCGATGCATCGGCTCGTTTGGTGACGATACGAGCGTATCGATACGAAGACTCAAATATCGATACACCAAAAATATTATTAACATACCTGAAGTCCATCATATTTTGCCGAAATCTACTGAATATTTGACTTTTTTGAGAAATTGTTCTTATATTTTCTGTTTGGTTTCTCGCTGGACATGACACGCCCAAAATGGTGTATAAATGCGAACAGAATGCCTAGCGGATTGACAGTCAAAATGTGAACAAATAACTCGTGTCTTGAAGACACTGTCTTCTATGTCTTCGTATATCAAAATACTTTGTTTTATAATTATTCTATATACTTTTTGACAATTTAGTATGAATAAATATAATCTTTGAACTTTTTATTCGATAGAACGCCGCGTTAAAAAATTGCCTACTAATATTGATAACTCTCATAAAAAACGAACAATATTTACGTTCGGAGTATTAATGTTGACCGGAGTTTAGAAATTGAAAATTTTTGAAAGTTTTGAAAACAATTGATAGAATTATGGCCGTGTAAATATCAAACATGGGTAGAAAATAGAATAGAAATATAACAGATAATAATATAATAGAAAATCTACTGTAGTACTTGTAACATTCCTCAGTAAAGGGAAAGCACAGCCGGACTTCAAAAAATATTGCAAAATATGCATAGCTGGCTACTATACAGCAGGTAGGCTTGATACTTGACAATAATTTTTATGCTGCATCTTAATCAAATGTCACAGCAAGTGATAGACTTTCAACTCGACCTCAGCTACGTCAGTTTTGCACCCCCCCCTTCAACTACACTATTATGTATCGTATCGTTGCTCGTATCGTGACCTGAGTATCGAGATACGTATCGTATCGTTTCATAATGTATCGTGGGACCCCTAGTAGAAACATCCCTGAAAATTTCAGATGATCAAATGGTTTGGCTGGAAACCTGTAGACAAGTCTTGAAAGTGAAGATTTTAGGACGGAAAATCCAAAATGGCCACCTTAAATTTTACCCAGAATGCCAAAAAACTAATCAGATCTTAACTTTGATACGTAGAAACATCCCTGAAAATTTCAGATGAATCCGTCAAATGGTTTGGCTGGAAACCTGTAGACAAGTCTTGAAAGTGAAGATTTTAGGACGGAAAATCCAAAATGGCCACCTTAAAATTTACCCAGAATGCCAAAAAACTAATCAGTCCTTAACTTTGATACATAGAAACATCCCTGAAAATTTCAGATGAATCCGTCAAATGGTTTGGCTGGAAACCTGTAGTCAAGTCTTGAAAGTGAAGATTTTAGGACGGAAAATCCAAAATGGCCACCTTAAAATTTACCCAGAATGCCCAAAAACTAATCAGTTCTTAACTTTGATACGTAGAAACATTCCTGAAAATTTCAGATGAATCTGACAAATGGTTTGGCTGGAAACCTGTAGACAAGCTGAAAAGTGAGACGCCGCCCGCCCGCCCGTCAAGCTGACGACAATATCGTACCTTTATTAGGTACGATAAAAAATGAATGAATGATACAGATGTCACATCAACAATGGAACGTCTGCAACAACTATTGCATTATGGGTAAATGATTTGAGAATGTTTACTGACCTTCCAAGGGACAGATGTTGGCCATATAACACTCTGATGCCTGGAAGGGTAAAGTGGTGAAATCACTCCTGGAACAAAAACAATACATTAAATCCATTTGTATATATATAAGGAAAGGACAGAAAATATGCAAGAGACTTGAAAAACCCTTGGCTCCTAATATTTTTCCACTTTTCAACATGCCTTTATTCAATTAAATCAAATAGCAACCAATACACAGTATCATAAGATTTGACATTTCATAATCAGATAGTAATTGTTGTTACCTGTTCTTTTAAATGGTCAACTACTGCTTTAACAGAGGAATAAGTTCATGACTCATGAGCTTTAAGTACATTCATTGGGTTTCAAGAGAGCCCATGATACACTGGATAAATAGACAAACTAAGTGATAGTACATTGAAGTAGTTACCTGATTTGCTTGAGGCAAGCACTGGGCATAGTGGCATATCCTCCATAGTCGACATATTTGATATCTACGTCATCAGTCTCCTCATAGAATGCAACAACCTGACATCTAAACCAGCCATCAAACAAGGGAGCAGCACATATAACACCAACTAAAATTACAGAGACAGTTACATGTTTATAAATAAGTCAAATCAGATTTTAATTGCTGTCCAAATGTGAATTCAACCTTTGAATCCATAACTACAAAACCTTAGAGCCTTTGAACTTTGGAAGTGGATATATTTTTCAACTTACCTTCTATTGGCCGTGGGAGCTGTGGCACAATACCATCTTGTGTGTAACAGGCAATCATACAGTGGTTCAAACGCTCCAATGAAGGGAAAGTAGGATGAGTTGGCTGTTGGAGAAATACATGACCTGCTTGGACAATGTTTGAGACAACTGTATCCACGGTGACACCTTCAGGGAGACCCAACTGAAACATAAAGCAAAATGATGTCTGCAATGAATGTTGCATTGTGGGTAATGCAAACAAATAACCTGTTTGAGATGACTGTTTCCATGGTGACACATTCAGGGTGACTCGTTTGGAACATAGTGATGTCTGCAATGAATGTTGCATCATGGGTAATGCAAACAAATAACCTATTTGGACAATGCTTTAGACAACTGTATCCAAGGTGATGTCTTCAAGTCGACACAGATCATAATGACATCTGCAATGAATGTTGCATTGTGGGTAATGCAAAAACATGTTATAAATGGACAATGCTTACTATTGCACAACAATGCACAGAATGCTGATGTGTTTTGAGCAATTACAAAAAATGTGAATAACTTTGACCATGCTTGACAATGACGCAACATGAACAAAGTTGCATTACAACGAGCAGCCTATAGCCAAAACAAATGGTTAAATAACAGTAAAATTTGTTTAAGAGGAACAACTTTCATATCTCAAACTAGTGTTCATCTAAGTAGGGGTTTCACGAAAACAGGTTTATTTTACATTGATTTAAGGCAAACACTTCATTTATGGTGGTGTTACACTACAGGAGTGTTACACTTACAGGAGTGTTACACTTACAGGGTGGTTACACTTACAGGGGAGTACACAATATAAGTATTTCAACTTATATTTTTTAAGCCTAACAATGGACACATTCAATGGAATTTCAGTCTAATACAGCAGCACACAGTACAACCACCCACCTTTAACTAAATTATTTAAAACCATCAAAACAAAAATACAAAATAGGTAAAATCCATCACCAAGTTTTTGTAACTGACTGGAGTCAATTCTGGCTACATTGACAAAAACGTAAAGATTCAAATTCCTAACACTCAATCATGTTAGTTGGAAATAGTAAAAGATCACAAAATTGGTTGGACTATCAAACAATGAGTATTTTTCTTCAGTTGCGAAATTATTATCTTTTCTTACATCTTTGGTTGACTTTTACACACTCACATATTCAAGTCTACAAAACTTTGATATTCACCTTTGAGTGATTTTACAAGGATTTTTTCACGTGTACATCTTTGATATTTTTGTAATTTTCAATGAATCATTTTTGAGCATTCCTTTAGGACTTTTTGAGTGAATATTTGAGAATTTTTGAAACTTTCTCAGAGATTGATTATTATTAGAGGCAAGTGTTGGGAACTCACTGAGTGTGCTGTGCCACTGAGATCTCCATGTGGCAAGCACCATGGCATTATTGAGTCTAGTGTCCATAGCAACTTTGTAAATTGACCAATGACTCTATCATCAAAAGGCGGCACAAATAAGTTAATCTGATGTATTCACACAATTCACTTTTGGGAAAACCTAGCACCCCAATAATTTTTCTTAAAGGATTATTCAATTAACTATACAAAAATTCAAAGAAAAACCACACCACACCAAATACTCACAGTAATGTTAATGTTTTTGTTACTATGGTTACCTGTTGCAGGTTTGAGTTTGGATCTGGTGGGCTGGCAGACTAGCAAGAACATACACAACATTTAGAAAATGTGCAATTAAAACTTATTAGAGGTGTGTATGTCTGTCAAATTGGAGGTTAAATGTTGTTACGACAAGATATTCATATTTGTTTTTTTTCTTTACTTGATAAAATGGCGTTGCTTAAAGTTTTGATCTTTGGAAGAAAACATGCATACCCTACCATAGTATACCAGCTGACGGTGTCCAGAAAGTCTCTATACACTTTATATTGACTTTGCATTATAGTTGTAAATAAATGACTTTATGGACACTATACTATTGCCAGAACATGCCGAGGAATAGATTATTGAAGAAAGAAGGGAAAATTAGGATATTTCCAAAATTAAGAATATCAGAGAAATTCTCTATGATAACAAAACTAGCAATTTTAAAAACAAAACAAGACAAATTTTTATGAAATAAAATCATCCTCAGAGAGGTATTTCAAGATCCAGAACATCATGTCTCTTGCCCACTGCTTAAAGTAGCATGCAGGTTATGACACTGCATATGTGACCAATGTAAGAATAATTCATCAAAGAATGTCGCTTAACTTGCACAAAGAACCAATGTTTCAAGACCAATCTCAAACAAATTTCGACGCATCCTAGAGATTATTACAACATGAATGTAGGATTTATACCATAATATGGATCTTGATCTCAGTCTGGGATTCAGAGACAAAATTCATGAGACTGGAATGTTGTTCTGTTTCATAACACAACTGTACCTGCATCATTTCAGGGGGCAGCACAACACCCTGAGGCTGTGTGCTCAGTTTGGTTGGCTCTAACGTTACTTCTGGATACCTGCGATGTGGGAACTTTTGACGAATCAAATCCAAACAGTGGTCGATCTCTGACTGTGATCCTATAACAGAAACAACACAGTGATAAATATCACACTTTTTATTCAAAATGCCTGCCAATATTTTTGGCTGATTGGTTTAGGGTGTACACTGTACAGTTTTACACTATTATACCCCTTAGGCTGCCAAGTTAATTACCCAGCTTGTCAAAATCCAAATCAGATCTTGGCACTAGTCTGCGCTTGCATTTATAAAGATTTCAAGTTCAACAGGAATTTTTGATAAGAGGTTTATGTGGAAACTGCACGATGTGCACACCATGCCCAGCAGCACAAGACAATGACAACATAGTACTGTTTTAAAGTGTGACAAAAATATACACATGTTAATATCGCTTATATATAATCAGGCACCTAAATTTCAATATAAAATCTTATAACAGGAAAATTATTATTGGTGTTTGCAATTTAAATATAGAAATAGCAGCAGGAAACAAGAGATTTAAGTAAAAATAACTTGAGCAAATGAAGCATTACCTGAACTGCTTATGAAATTTCTGATGAATCAATAACTGAATTTATAACCAAGGTCATGGCCTTGAGATGAAACTATAACATAGAATCCAATACAACTAATATTGATAACCTTTTTAAATGTAGAGGGCAGATTATCATATTACCTTCTAATGTAACTATTTGCTTCTCTGGTGTAAGAGGGCAGCTTCTGACCAGAATATTCGCTCCAGACTTAAACTTGAGCTGTTTCACAGATCGCCCTTGACGACCAATCAGCATGCCACAAAAGTCTGTCGGGATATCAAACTCAAAAGTGGTTGGTTCATTCTCTGATATATTCGGGAGATTGCTTGCATCTGGCATCGAGGCTCCCTTACCACTGTCATTTGAAACCTGAAATGGTTACTCTATGTTATATTAATAAAATAAGACAATCTCGTAAGCTCTCCATTCTGATGTTCATAGCCATTTCTGTTTCAAGGCTGAGAAGAAATGAGATGTCATGGTTTATCATCATATGTAAGCTTTCTGATATCCTTTCAAGTAGTTTGCTTCTTCAAAATAGAACTTTCACTATTTCTCCGAGCCTTCAATGTGCTAGGCTGGCAGAAATCCAAGAAAAATGTCCAAAGCCCAAGGGCTAGTAAGTCTGATTAAGATAGAAATTTTCAGTTTTTATGCAGATATGATCTTATAATGACCAGATAATGGCCCAAAAGAGTAGCTGTCACCTGACATTCTGTTCTGATAAAGTTACATTTTTTCTGTTTTACACCGAGCAATGTTATTTGTAAAAAGAACTGTTCAACCTATCAGATCAACTTGCCATTGTTTTTCAAGATAATAATAATACAACATATTATAGTTGACCTAATTTGACTGTGAAAATGAAAAATTCAATATTATCTCGGATATTATTAATAATTTATTTCTGTATTGCAGCTGTTACAAATCATCTCAAAACATAACAATCATATGAAAGTGCAACAAGTTGTTTTTATAAAAGATGCATTCATAGTCAGTAATGAATTAAAGAGATAAAAATGTAATAACAATCAAAATTCAGGGTTCTCACCAGGAAATTTTTAGGCCCCGGATTTTTAGCGGTATTGTGACTACTTTTTTTGCGGTATTGCGACTACTTCTCCCCCATGTGAGATCAGAGATATCCTATAAGTGTACTTTTCAACATGCTTCTTAAGACTATCTTGCTATTTTAATCCCAATATTTATTTCTGAAAGGTTTCTGACTTCCTATTCCTTGTTTGTATCCAGTTTTACGTATTTTCTCAAGAGTTTTACTGCTAATAATGTGACAAAAATGTAAAATTAGACTCCGTAAAAAACACTTTAGACTCGGGAAAAGCTATTAGACTCTGGAGCAAGAAGGTTTAAGACATTTAGACTCTGGAGAATCTTCGGAGTCTAAAAGCCTAGTGAGAACCCGGACATTTCTCAAATTTAATTATAGGGGGAGGAAGAGAGTTAAACCATAAATACAAATGTTCATAGTCCATCCTACCATCCCTAATATAAGTCAGATAATTTTCTACTCAGACCAAAAACACGACCACAATCTTTTTTTCCTTCCTGAAAGAGTGTAATATAACATCTAAATTTTTGATTATTGTCATTAATCTGTCCTCAGTTAACCTTATAAAATAGTTAAGAAATTTAGTGAAATCATCATTGCTATTATAAGCTAAAATAATTTTAGGTTATCTTTATAATCTTTCCCCTGATAACTTAGTTTGTTATAGCTGGTTGTTGTGCTTTACATATTTATCTTTATCATTTTCCATTCATTAAAAATATTGTGAAGATTAAGTATTAGTTCAAATATTTACCTCGCTTGCGGCATCGCTATTTACACTTGTCATCATGTGGTCTCCAGGGGAATCGGTACCTTGAGAATTCTGGGTAGTCTCTGATAGATTGCGTTCACGTTTGGCAAATTCTAATGGTGATGCTAAATTAGGAGAACTATGGATAGGGCTCTGAGGTTCGTGTAATTCCGTATCCAAAGTTTCATGATTTGTTCTTGGTAGGCTTACATTTGTTGTTTGATCAATGTCATCATTAACACTCAGTTCTTCTGTAGCTTCACTTAGACTTGCCCAGTCTTTCTCATTGTCTTTTTTATTCGCATCACTGCATCTATGTTCGGTGTCAATATCTTCTTGTGCATCAGTCACATCTTCTTCATTCGATGGTTCTTCTGGTTCAACATTTGCTGGTTCATCAATTAAAGATGGCGCTACTTGTTCTGCATTAGGCTCAGATGAAAGAGAAGTGGCCATCTCTGACTTCAAAACCTGTTCATCGGGTTTGACCATATTTGGAACTTTACTGCAACACAATGGAGCTTCAACTGGTTTTGGGATCAACTCCTCAACTTGTGGACTTCCAACAATAGACTTGTCCTCTGCTGGCCCTGATTGCTTTATTTCCTGTTTCACGATGTGATTGACAGATTGATTTATATCAGGTTCATGTACGTCTTCGTCTTCCCGTTTCTTTCGTCCCCTGCTATACCATAGAAATCCAACAAGCGCTATCACGACAGATCCAGTCAATGCGGCAATAGTCTTCAGTGTCATACTGAAACAAGAAAGCGGAAAAACATACTGAGTCAACCATTGTTTAATTTAATACTGTTTGCAATTTAAATTTATTGCCCTTTATGAGTGAATGTGGCAATAGTTTTACTGTTATCTGTAATGCATTGCCCCAGGTGCTTTAGATACAACTCCCTCGCAAAAAACTGCAATAGACTTAACACAATGCAGGATTGAATAATGAGTTGATGATATTTCAAACTGGTACAAAGTTATCGCAATAGCTGTTGAAAATATTCAAGCTTGTTGCAGATGAATTTCATTGAAATACATGTAGTTAAATTCAATTAAATTAAATTGCGTGAAGTTGATTGGTTATAGAATTTGCTGAGAAATGTACAGCTGCTGCTACTGTCAGCTATCTTACATAAAAATATAAATATTTAAAATGTCGATTAAAGCCTTATCTTTAATATATTGATTGTTTGAATTGTTTGAAATGCTAGTTTCATATTTAAAAGATATTTTTGAGAAAATCAACATCTCAAAACAACATTTTAAGTGGAGGGAATACTTCATAATGAAGCTCATTTTCAATGACGATATAAGAAATTATGATTCTTCAACAGAACTATGAGGCCTGATCAGAAAGTTTGTTAACAAATGCTTTCATTTTTTAATTCTTGAGATTTTACATGAATTTTTTTATGGAGTATAATTGTTACAATACAATGCATGTGGATAAATAACACATAAACGCCATTTCAAAAACTGATTTTTGGATCAAATGTGTTAAATGCTGTATAATAGGAGAAAAGGTTCTTTTTACAATTTTGCATTCCATTGCTATGATTACACTAAGTTTTATCAAAACAAACAGACATTGTTTCCCTGACAACCATTGCTTCCCTGACAACCAGTGCTTCTCTGACAACCATTGCTTTCCCGACAACCATTGCTTCCCTGACAACAATTGCATTATAAGGCTTAATGCATTAACAAGTGCAATATTATGGAGATGCTGATATTAGAATCTGTTATTTAAAAACAATGTTTTACAGAAAACCAATATTAAAATCTCATATGAGCTAGTCAATAGTGCAATCACATGCGTTGTTATTACTCAAATCCTCTTATCATCTGGCAGTCTATGTATATAATAAAAAAAGATAACAAACTTGCTTGAGGGCACATATCACTTAATGATTATTATTATGTCAAATTGAAATGTGCAAAAAGATCATTCGCTCAAGGCTCTGTTTGTCTCCAAGGACTATCAAACACAAACTGTATTTAAATCTCCCTGAGCATTCTGATTACTAGTCCCTCTTTTAACATCTAATGCATGTGTATCTACTCTCTTTAGAAAAGTTGTGGCAATGGGACCCGCATTAAACCTTGGGAGTTATTAAGTACTTTGAAGAGTATTAGGGAATACAAAAGTGCATATGGTTTCTAAATATGATAAGAAATGTCAATATTCTAATAATTATTTTGAAAATAATACTTAAGTATTTAAATTAAATAATTCTCGAATCAAACTTTTCCTAAGTACACAGTATTTCACATGCCATGAGGTCTAGCCAAGTTACTGACTGGAGTAATGGTTAACAGAAGTAAGGTTCAAGCAACAAATGCAAAAGTAGCTGGAAACTTGATGTCAGGCCAGAATACAGAGACGGCCTTTAAAAGATGGCAATGCTGTGCGATGTTAAATTGTAATGCTGAGCGACGTAAAATTGCAATGCTATGCATTAGTGTAAAGATTAATCTATACATCGCGATATCACCAAAAGTGTTTCTGGCGATGTATCAATGCCTGAAACACATCTATACTTTGAAAATATTAAATCTGCTAAAAATCAATTGGTTCAATACTCCTATTCGCTATAAGAGTTCAGGTGGTAATTTACATAAATATCTCCCATGATGCATCGCTTTGGAAGGGATAAAATTTCATTGGCCCGCCGAACGAGTCGAATACTCTGAAGGTTTCTCAGCTTCTGATTAGCTACTTCTGATCTTCCATCAGCCCTCAAGCATAGTTATATGATCCAATCTATTGAATAATCAGAAAGATAATCGGAGATTCAAAGTAGTTGAATTCACTGATGAAATGTTTGTTCGATGCTCGGATGTTCACATTTTATTGAAGCTCTCGTAAAATGAACGAACAAACATTTCATTTTCATACATGTTCGGTAATATAACGTATCATAACTTCCAGAAATGACAAGGCAGTCGCAAAATTTTTGGGAATTTTTTCAGATCGTTTACATTTTTGTATAACTGTACTTATTGTTGATCAGACGGAAAGATAAGCTGATGTAGTTACATTGGAGTTCGTTTACTACCACTTGGAAGGCATGTGAGGGTCCCATTCATCAGGTAACACTTATATGTCGAAGTTAAGTTTTTGCTTTTTTTAACATGTAACCAGGAGTAATATTCCTAGGGTTCTATCACCAATAGACTTCAAGATGTCCCTAATCGTCCTACTAGGGACATCTCGCATACCATTGAATAGATTGTCGCAGAAACCGGCACTCATAAATGTTAGAATTATGATGTTAGTTGGAGACCTACCCTTTATTTGACCAGCTCACTTCATTCCTGTCTCATTTATACAGTTGAAATTGTAATTCTTGACTTCTTAATTATCGTAAATCCTTCGTTCTATAAGTATAATGTCAAAGCAATTTCAACTTAGAAATTCTTGTTCCTCTGGTCGTTATGCAAATCAATATGAACACCAGGCTGCCAGGAAACGAAATTATTATAATAAGATTTCGCTAAAGCTACTAAACGTGTAGCGAGATATCATATTCTTTCGTGCTCAGAAAGAAGTTTTGCCGCGAACATTTTTAGAAATAAATTAATTAATTAATTGTCCGTTTAAGTTATTAAACTAGTTAGTTAAAAAGTTTGACATGTAGTAACGCGCATGCGCATGAATAGGATTTTAGTTTCAAAATTAGTTCAAAATTTTTGACAAAAATCTCTTAATTACTCATGAAATACCAAATTACTTCACTAAAAACGTAGCAGAGTGATTTCGGAGCATTCAAAGATAGGGTAGGTGCATAGTTTATCGCAGTTTGCTGCTGCATCATTATAAATATAGGTATGCGTAATGGCCATGATTTATCGCATCCTACGACCCCTTTAGATTGTGGTCGTACGCCGGTATCATTGGTAAGCCTGTCTTTCTACAATGTCGGAGAATGAACTACGCATTGCACTATTAAATGACCTACCTCGATACATTCCAGAGTATTTTAGAATTCTTTTTATGTTGTTAGATCGCCAAGTGTATGGGTTTATCGGCAGAACGAAGAGATTTTAGTTTTTACATCGGAAATATATCAGCAATTTTCAAAATGTCGGAAGGGGAATTCCCCAGGGATTTCCCTTAGACTGGTGCATGCCGGGAACTGAATGGAGGAATTTGACGGTTGAAATAAGTTAAATATTACACGCAAATATTGCTATCAAAAACGAAAACCTCTTCGTTCTGCCGATAAACCCATACAGTTCGGGACATAAATAAATGACAGGTCGATTTGCTGAAGTGAGAATTTCCCATGTTAAAAATAAGAGAATTTACAAGAGGCCATACAGTTGGGGACATAAATAAATGACAGGTGGATTTGCTGAAGTGAGGATTTCCCATGTTAAAAATAAGAGAATTTACAAGAGGCCATAAATCAGTGGATGAGATTATACAAAATGTAAAATATACAAATTTTAAGGGATATGTATCTAGACAATATTGGTAATTATGGGCTTTCAGACTACCATAATTAGGAAATGGTGATCGAAAATCGACCTGTCATTTATTTTTGTCCCCAACTGTACATCAGTGGATGAGATTATACAAAATGTGAAATATACAAATTTTAAGGGATATATATCTAGACAATATTGGAAATTATGGGCTTTCAGACGACCATAATTAGGAAATGGTGATCGAAAATCGACCTGTCATTTATTTTTGTCCCCAACTGTACAATTGTGGATTCAACTACACAAAAAGAATGCTAAAATACCAAGGAATCTATTGAAATAGGTATCTTAAGTGTAAGTAGCGTAGAAAATTCTCCCATGTTGTAATCGTACAGACAAAAGTATAAGACGTTCGCAAGACTAGAACGTAGAGATAGTCTTGGAACGAGATAAGGCCATGATATCATCATGGCCATTGGGAAAGGCTAGTCACCAATAGGGCGAAGGGGTGTAATGTCGACGTGTGGGGTAATGTCGACATAATGGACGGGGTAACTTCGACACTTACGTATTAGAAGTAGAATTTCCGTTTTCCGCCATGTTTGATTTCTTGAAAAATTAAAATCTCGCGAGATCTCGATCCATGCGAGAAAAAAAACATGGCTTCCCCTAGATCTGAAATTAGAGCAAATAAACAACAAGGTGTCGAAGTTACCCCACATGTCGAAGTTACCCCAAAACGGTGTCGACGTTACACCCCTTCGCCCTTATCCTGTTCCCGGACTATAGTCCTGTACGGAGCCAATACATTTGCCTGTACGATTACAACTTGGGAGAATTATCTACGCCCCTTCCACTTAAGAAACCTACCTCAATGCATTCTACAACTCAAAATGTAACTTCTAATATATTGGAACCGCCGATTGTCTGGGTTAGTTGGCAGAACGAGGTCTTTTTGTTTCTTATGGCTCTTTTGGTCGAAGTTCGATTAAGATGGCGGTTATAACGGAATTTCCCGAACTCTTCCGTAATAGCACGAACTTGGTTTTTCGTTACTTCACTTCCATGTAGAATGGATTTGTTTCCGGTAAGAAACATTGTTTAACCATTCGGTATACAGTTAAGAGCATAGGATGTCGACATGGCAGTAAATATTGAAAATATTGTCCGAAATTTTCGAAATTCCCTCTTACCCGAAACAAATCCATTTTACACGGAAGTGACGTAACGAAAAACCAAGTTCGTGCTATTACGGAAGAGTTCGGGAAATTCCGTTATAACCGCCATCTTAATCGAACTTCGACCAAAAGAGCCATA